CTTTACTGCTCACTTCTTGCAGCTTCTAGATTATTTGCGTATTCTCTTTTTTTTTTTTTTTTTTAAAGGACAACTTGAGAAGAGCAGCTGTTTAAATCCCCTGTTGTTATGAGTGTTTCTGTTTTCATAATTAAGATTGAATTTAAGATGTTTCACATTTTTTTTTTGTTAATTTTAATTTTATTTTTTTTTTTTTTTTTTTTTTGTTTTTTTTTTTTTTTCGTTTTCCCTTTTTTTTTTTTTTTTTAAAGGACAACTTGAGAAGCGCAGCTGTTTAAATCCCCTGTTGTTATGAGTGTTTCTGTTTTCAAAATTAAGATTGCATTTAAGATGTTTCACAATGTAACGATGTCATTTGAGCGAGCTTTTGCTTTTTCAGATTTCGATTTCAAGGAGTATTAGTGAGGATTCCATTCTTTGTATACACTCACTCAAACAATAAGGCTCCCATATATTTTTGAATGCCATTGCCTTTCTGTACCTCAACGATCCAAGTGGATGTCAATGTTTTAAGTTTAAAATAGATTGAGGAAGGGTAGTTTCTTGAAAATAGCTTTAATTTATTAATAAGCGTTCATTTATTTCCAAAATATGGAAACGGTGATATTCATTAATTAACAGTGATATTCATTAATTTAAAAGAAAAAAGTGCATAAAATTTTATTTTTTCTCTACACTAAAACAAATTCCCGTGATGCTGGATGCTGGCCTGTGTTATGATCTGACATGCTGATGGTGATAAGAGAGCGAATTTATAATATAAATATGTGAATACAATTTCCTATTAAAAGCTATCAATAAATGTATGTATTAATATATTATATCAATGAATCACTTTTCATCTACTGCTTTATGTGACTTTTCATTCATATCATTGCCTGTGTTGACATTGTGACTTACTCAGCAGCACTTTGATCTCCTTGCTACGTTTCTAAATGGGTTCTGAGAAGGAGAATTCATATATTATCCACAAAGCTTTGGTTTCAAATATTTTATAAGTTTACTAAATATGTTGGTTTTTTTTTTGCCTTACTTTGTATTTAATTTGGTGTATTTATTGTGGTTTAAGTAACATTTGTTATTATAAGAGTTTCATTGTCATAGATATTAGTTCTCAGATTTATTCATCTCATAAATGTCATTCAGTTCTGTTTGCTTTTGTTTTCGGCAGGAATGTTTTCAGTGCTAATTTTTTTTATCATCCAATAACAAGGCTATGACCAAATGTTTATATTTGATCTGAAATTTTCTGTTTTCCTTGAGAAATTAAGCTGATGAATTCCTAAATTGAGGCACAAAAACATTGCAAATACCCTCTACATAAATAAGAGCCAGAATGACCAGTACACTGATCGTGGGCCCTTAAGATATAGAAGAAGAAGAAGAATCCATAACTTGAGAAATAAAGCTGATGAATCCATCAGCCAGTGGTGTTCAACAACCTATTAAAAGATCATGTGTCTTAAAACTCTGTTTTCCAAACATGTCTCAAGGGGGTCTCTGTTTCAAGTAAAATTACTCTTTATGCTGGGCCTTTTTAATATCTTCGGTTAGTTAATGTGATCATGTAACCTACATGATCCTTAAATGTGTTTGTGTTTGAAGTAGACTGGTAGCTTTTTTGGCATGGCACTTTTAGCCCTAAATCTTGAATGATAAATTCATAACATAGTTCCTTTATATGTTTATATATAAATATTTATATATTCTTAAAAAAAGAAGTAATGGTAAATAATAATAAGGGAATATTCGTCATGCTTTTTTAAAATAAAAACTAATAAGCTTTTGCAAGAGAGTTTAACATTTAAATTTTGTTATGTAAATGTTATTTTTTTTATTACTGTTAATCGTTGTGGAAATCTTTGCATAAGTATTAAAAAATTTATGAAATTAAAAATTGTTTGTGTTTTTTTTTTTTTTAATTTTAAATTTGATGCCGACCGAATATGAATTTCTCATTTGCAATAATATTTTACATTAAATTTAGTGAATTACATTCTTTCTTTTTTTTTTTGGGGGGGTGGGGTCGGAAAAATACGGAATGGTTGATAAGCTCTGACTACTTGAAAATTGTAAACCAAACGACTGTAGAGCGAAACATGGCTTTAAAGTTAAAAATCAAGGAGTCAATTGAACATTAAATTCATATATGTTTTTAAAACATAATTAAAAATTGTTTGTGTTTTTTTTTTTTTTAATTTTAAATTTGATGCCGAACGAATATGAATTTATCATTTGCAATAATATTTTACATTAAATTTAGTGAATTACATTCTTTCTTTTTTTTTTTGGAGGGGTGGGGTCGGAAAAATACGGAATGGTTGATAAGCTCTGACTACCTGAAAAATGTAAACCACACGACTGTAGAGCGAAACATGGCTTTACAGTTACAGATCAAGGAGTCAATTGAACATTAAATTCATATATGTTTTTAAAACATCTGACTGAGCTATTTAATAAAATGAAAGAATTTTAAAACATTTTAAATTGGTTTAGCTGACCAAAACAAAATGGTGCATGCTCAGTTAATGAAGCGTAAATTTGTCTTTAATAGCTCATGGCAGACTGGCTAGCTTATTGTTAGAAGTTAACAGAGGAAACAATAGGAATTAAATAGGCAAAAAAAAAAACAGGATGGAGTAGTTACATACCATTTTGTCAATTTAATCTGAAGATTTTGCTCGTTTGTTGAACTATACGTAACAAAGGACTGAAAACAAGTATACAGAGAAAAACAAAGCTAGTGATATTAACAATATTCCGTTAAATTACATTATTAAAGTTATAGAAAGAATACAAAATCAAGTAGACAAAAATAAAAACTATATTAACTTACAGTGACTTACAGCACAGCAATAGAAAAAGCACAATCCTCAAAAGACACAAATAATGTCAGGGCCCTTCATGGGCTGTGGTGCTGCTGATGATGATAAAAAATCTCAGTGAAGTCTATATTTGGGATACCTTCATAAATACATTAGGTCCCATTTATTTTAGTGTAATATGACAAACCACGAATTTAGCATCTAAACAAAAACTAAAAATTAAAAGTAAAGGGATGAATTCAATCAATTGAATTGATAATTTATGAAAGGGAACTTTTTCGAAAGCTAGTACTATTAACTAGTACCAAAACATTCAGTAGATGTGAGAATTGAAAAATCTTGTTTTAGTAAACTGGATAAACAAACGCCGCTTTCATTTTGAAAGCAAAATAAATTGCCAAAAATCTTTCAACATTCACGAATAATGTTGGCAGCTTAACGCACCTAGAAGCGTGGGGCACCATAGAGGCCCCTTAGATACACGAGTCCACCTAGTGTACCCACGCAGTGGACCCATGCCTTAAGACGGCCCTGCTTTTCTCCACTAATTTCACTGCAGAGTAAGGTTCAGTGGCGTATTTAGGGTTATTACCACCTGGGACTAACATTTTATTCTAGATCTAATATGATTGTAAACACACATTTTTACGCTAATAGGGGTCGTTCGCAAATTATGTCACGCTCCGGGGGAGGGGGGTCGAGAATTTGTGACATTTTGTGACAGGGGAGGAGGGGGGTAAAAAATGTGTGAGTCACAATTTTTTATAAAAAAAAAAATAATAAAATTGCCAATTTTGAAAAATCTTTATTCAATTAATAAAAAAAAAAATTGAAGTCGAAATTGCCTCAGGTATTATAAGTACCGTGAAACTCAGCCGTGCACACCTTCAGTGCATATCGAAAAATGACGCAAATCAGTTGACAGTTGTGGCCATGGGGAGGGGGGTAGAAAATTTGTGAAATTTTGTAACAGGGGAGGAGGGGGGTAAAAAATGTGTGAGTCAAAATTTTTTATAAAAAAAAAAATAATAAAATTGCCAATTTTGAAAAATCTTTATTCAATTAATAAAAAAAAAAAATTGAAGTCGAAATTGCCTCAGGTATTATAAGTACCGTGAAACTCAGCCGTGCACACCTTCAGTGCATATCGAAAAATGACGCAAATCAGTTGACAGTTGTGGCCATTTTACATTCTGCTCGGGGAGGGGTAAATAATTTGTGAGACTTTGTGAAAGGGGGAGGGGTGTCTGAAAAGGTCTTTTTTGCGTGACGTAATTTGCGACCGATTTCTTTTTTTCGATTCATATATCTGGGAGAACTAAAACTTGTTGACAAAGTTATTCTCTTTGTGATTCGCATTTATAATATCAATTTTGCAATGTGCCAATAATTTTGTGGGTTAAAATTGGGAAACGTGCTGTTTAATGACTTTTAAATCAAATTAAATTGGCACAATCTTTCAATTTTTATTAACAATATGTAGAGCATGATGCCTGTAGTAGAATGAGCTTCCTAGAAGCGCGAGACCCTGGGCCAGTTCCCCAATGCCTAAAGTAAGACGGCACTTGAGGCTGAGGCAGGGACATTTACTGATCTTTCGGGGACGCCGGGCATGACCCACTAGAGTTCTCGAAGGTCGTGCACCGGGACGGGTGATGCGAAAATATAGTCTGCCCCGTGTAAACGAATTCTGCTTCTCTTTGGACGTAGGCTCCTTAGTCTTAGTATATATTATGTAACGTGTAACCACAGATCTATTCCCACTAAATTTATTAATTTTAAAAAGCAATCAGCCATCCTGCATGCATTTAGATTATTTGTGTTTCCAATAATTATAGTATAGTATAGGCTACATGTGACTATGACAATATGAATCTGAATATGTTAAAATATGTAAATTATTTGTAAACACAACAAATCTATTTCCTGAACTCAAGAAATAAATCAAAATCATATGACATCATAATCATATGTCGTATAATTGATAAATGTTGGAAACGAAGTATAGATAGTGATGGTAAAATTTACAATAATTTGTTATAAAATAATCATAAAATAATAACAACAGTAACACTAACAGAGTGAAATTAAAAATCACACAATAGCTTCACTGATTTAAAACGTTTTCTTTCTTCTTTTCAAAGGGACACAATCCTGATATCTTTACCAATATTTACAAAACGTAGACGTGCCCGACCTATTAACAATCATTGCTTCACAAGTGCAAGTAACAAGGAAGTAGTTTGAGTAAACATTGAATTCCGTAAAATGTATGGGAAAAATTAAATAGAAACGGACAATGACTAAGGACTAACCGGATCTTGAATAAAACCAAATGCACAAGCAAGTAAACTGCAAATTAGTGTAAGTGTAAAGTGTAAGTGTAAAGTGTAAGTCTTAAGTGTTTGACTGTTTGTGGCTTATATTTTTGTAGTTTTATAGACTTATTTGTCACTCGTAACTGAAACTGTAGACTGTAGTTTTGTGTAGTTGTTTAAAAAAAAAAGTGTCACTAGACTGCCTGGATTTCCCCATCTATGATTATCCAGGATCTAATTCTATCCATACTATACATAGTCCATAGTTTTCCATAGATCTACTTGTACTTACAAATAAAAAACTTAATATACCATAATGAATAATGGCACAGTAACTATACCTCGGCCTGTCTTGTTGTATAAGTTAGTATAACCTAACTAATTACTCCCATAGCCAGCCTATTGGCTATAGTTTATTATGATACTTTTTATAACAGTATGGGGTATAGTATACCTACTCAACCTACTGTCTAACTACTAATGGTATTGAATACATTATTTACACATTATAATTATGATTTAGACCAGTGGTCCCCAAATGGCGGTCCGTGGACCTACACCGGTCCGCATGGCTAACGCTGCCGGTCCCCATAACATCTATATTTATTGTCTATTAGAAATAAAAGTATAAAAATAAATCATGCACCGGTCCTTGGTAAAATTTTGAAACTTGTTCACCGGTCTGCCAAACTTAAACATTTGGGAACCACTGATTTAGACCATTAGGCCTAATTGACATTTAGGTATTTGTTTTCATTTTCAGTACTGACATTTAACAGTATATATATTTTAATAACTTAACCCAGCTTGGCCAATCCAAAACAAATAGGTAAGTTTAGGTTTAGGAAATAATACCACTACTAGTTTAATATATTTTTAGGATTGAATGCAGCTTAACAACACAAGTTTGTGCTGGGGCTTGCCACTCATGTTTAAAATCAAAATCTACTTAGAAAGTTAGAACGATTGGCAGATCTTGTTTGGGGGTTATCTTTTGATTTATAAATACTAGTGATATTTAAAGTTAGTCTTGCTAGACTTACCAAGGGCAACAGTAGCCTATAAATTATTATTAGCCTATACTAGTTACCTTAACTTAAGAAGGATTCCTCAAACTTTTTAATCAGGGGGCCGATTTACTGTCTCTTAGACCCTTAGGTCGGCTTCACTGTCCCTCAGACACGTTAGGGCCCAGACTATTATTTGGAAATATGATGAATGAATTCCTATGCACACATATTGTATGTAGTAAAAGAAATGGTAATAAGGGGCAGAAACTGCAATCTGGTCAGCAAAAAAGGAAATGAGTAAAACAAAGTATGGACATGGGACAACCTGAAAAGGGAATGCAACAAAACAACAAATGTGTCAGCAAGAAGCCTTCATCAGTGAACAAACAACAGTAAAAACAGAATTGAATAAAAATAACACTTAGCTGAAATGTAGGGCAGCGAGTGGAAAATTCTACTTTATTACTTCAGGAAATTTTAAGAAAATAACTGGGGCATTTAATGTTCATTTCACTGATTATTCATATGTCTGAATTAACAGATTAATTCATACATCTGAATTAACAGATCAATTCATACATCTGAATTAACAGATTAATTCATATTTCTGAATTAACAGATTGTTTAATATGTCTGACTTAACAGGTTGATTAATTCATTGTTAACTCAAGAAATCCTTGTAATATTTGTAAATGTATTAGAAAATACAAAAATAGATGAGGGAAAAACCTGAGATAAGATTTAAAAAACAAACACTACTGTCAGCAAAAAGCCTTTCTTCAGCTAACAAAGTCATTAAAAATAAAAGTGAGAAATATGGCATTAAATTTACAGGTTAATTCATACATCTGAATTAACAGATTAATTCATATTTCTGAATTAACAGATTGATTAATATGTCTGACTTAACAGGTTGATTAATTCATGTGTCTGACTTAACAGGTTGATTAATTCATTGTTAACTCAAGAAATCCTTGTAATATTTGTAAATGTATTAGAAAATACAGAAATAGATGAGGGAAAAACCTGAGATAAGATTTAAAAAACAAAAACTACTGTCAGCAAAAAGCCTTTCTTCAGCTAACAAAGTCATTAAAAATAAAAGTGAGAAATATGGCATTAAGCTAAAGAGTGTACAGAAAGAAATAGAAAAACAAAAAAGAGAAAGAAAAAACAACAATCACCCCCTTATAAAACTTTGTAAATGTATGTTGATATTTATAATTATATATTGAGGTTACAGTAGGCCTACGCTTTAGTCAAGTTTATACAAAGTTGATTTTTAAAAAAATGATTTCCAGGACATTCCTGATTATTTTTGTGTCTCATTAGTTTTATGTTAAAGGATATTCATTTTAAAAATATGCCTAGCTGCATTTCACACTCGCCACAAGCTCCCCAGTGTTTAAATACGTCAAATAAATCTGTGGTAGGTAAACTGTGGCAGTGTACGGAGTACCAGAACGTATACAAATTTTAAGATGTTTCTACTATCATTATCAAGTCTTATCGTTCTGTGATTAGTAGTTTAAATAGTTTACATATTTTTCATAATTGTAAAGCGCTTAGAGCCGTAAGGTAAGCGCAATAAAAAAAATGTCTAAATAAATAAATAAAACTCACCACGTCCAGTCATATAACTTGACAAAAACACAGGCCGATCAGTTCACAAAGTTCACTCAGTACACTCAACAATAATTGTCAGTCATACATACTATCATAGTTAATGATAACCTCTCTATATACCATATGTTGATGATAATGTAACAAAGCTAAAAAAATTAATTTTCTACATTAAAATAATTTATTCTGCCCAACGCTTCATGCTTATCATCATGTTTAATAATAGACCAGTAGTTCTCCTGTTGAGGGTGTCCGTTGTTGGATTCACTTCTACAGATAGTTTGAGTTGTCAATTATAATTAATCCGCTATAATTGTGATTGATTTTTAGTTATAACAACTAAGATTGGGTGCCAACATTTTGCCCATTCAGACTGTGCTTATGGACGCAACATTTTGCCCATTCAGACTGTGCTTATGGATGTGGTTGCTTTGGATAAGTACAATAAAAAATATTAATTTTTAATTTGCTGTATACTGTCAACTGCAGTTATCTTTGGGTAGAAGTCCCGGGACATCTCAACATCTAGAACAGGGGTCTCAATCTAAAATCATCCGGGGGCCGCAGGAGGTAGAGACTGGGCCACATCAAGTATTACACAATTACAAGTATTACAAATTCATTAAACCTTTATTAATAACAAATAAAAAAATTAAGGGTCCTCAAGAACTAGCCTTCACTTTCTTCCTCTTACTCCTTGTTGCCAGAGATCTGGCTGCGCTTCTTCTTACACAGTTGAGCAACATTTGGCTTGAGTGAGAAAGCAACTGAGATGCTCAGTATAGCTTGAAGATGCTCATCAGTATGTTTGGCCCTGAAGTTTGACTTGTTAAAGTTCATAGTGGAAAAGAGCTTTTCACACAGATAGGTTCTCCCAAAGAAGCCACATGATCCACTTAAACAACCTGCAAATCTTAGGGAAGATTGAGGGCAATGCTCTCATAAATTGTCCATGCTTGTCTGTTTTTCCATTCATCTCCCTGAACTTAGAATTGCACTGCAGATCAATTAGCTCCATTTGAAGCCCAAAGGGGTGGGAAGGTGGGGGGGGGGGGTTGCATCTTCCAAATTGAAGAGGAAATGGTCAGCAAAAAGTTGAAAAGTAAGTTACTCTGTCTGTTTTGAAGTCTAAAAACATGTGAAAAAATTCTTCCTGTAGCTTTGCAATGGCATCAGTATACTTACTACTGAAGGGTGTTTGGGGGGGGAGGGGGGGGGGGGGGGGGGTTGCATCTTCCAAATTGAAGAGGAAATGGTCAGCAAAAAGTTGAAAAGTAAGTTACTCTGTCTGTTTTGAAGTCTAAAAACATGTGAACAAATTCTTCCTGTAGCTTTGCAATGGCATCAGTATACTTACTACTGAAGGGTGTTCCCGAGTCCATGAGTACTTTCCATGTAGGGAAATGGCAGAGGTTTTTCTAAGAATCATAACACAAGTTTTGTGCAGAATGCCCTGACATTGTCATTGGCAACACTGACAAGCTACCCCTGGTCTTGTAACTTCTTGTTGAGAACAATCAGCTCCTATGTAATGTCAACAAGAAAAGCCAAGTCCATGAGCCATTTGGGATCACTTAGTACAGGAACAAACACCCCATCCTTCTCCATGAAGGCTTTTAAGTAAAACGTGTTCAAACAGTAGGCAGGGGCAGGCAATATTTATGAATTATTGATGCGATGGAAGATGCTATTGTAGGGGGAATAAATTTTTATTTTTTTATCGAAAAAAAGGTCTTTTAGACTAACCCTATTTTGAAAGTGACCAAGCTGACAGGCTCGGAATTTTTCTCACTCGTAAACACTAGCAGCAATTTTAATAGGGATTCTTTGATACTGTGTCATGTTGCAACGATTTACACAATTATGATTGTGCATTACCCACTAACTGACTTTTTAAATGTTTCTCAAAACCGCACTTTGGCCATATGTTTGTCTCATAAAATGCTATGAAATAAAAACTTTAAGTCCGATTTTTTACAACACTTTTTAACATTATAATCAATTTCTAAATCTAAACAAACAAAATGCAAATCAGAACTAGAGTAGTTGGTGAGATTCTACTGAAACATTCGCTGATCATCACATTATAGATATAAGAATGGGGAAAATGCGCGGGGCGCATTAATAATAAACTTTTCTGTCATGTAGCATGCCCCAAAATATCATCTTGTGGGCCGCAAATGGCCCACGAGTTTGAGACCTCTGATCTAGAACATTTGAGTAAGATTTACATTAATTGAAAACAGGTACAGCAAAACCTGGCTTGGCAGCTCAAGGAGTTGTTTGAATTAATTTATGATTTTAAAATTATTTTAATTACTGCATACAATAAAAGTCATTTTAAAACTGTCCACATAATTAAAAAATAAAATGGTGTATGCTCAGATAATGGTGCTTAATTTCGGTTTTAATAAGTTAGAATTTAGTTAAGACTGGCTTACTTTGTGAAATAAAGAAATAACCAGGAAATAAATAATACATTTTCAACTAAATGTAGGCCGAGTTTGGTGGGTAACTTCCTTGACAGAGCGCGGGGAAGGGCGGGGGCGCCTGTTTGCTCAATGCTGCCATATTCTAGCATTTACAAGTAAATAGCAGCATCAAATACCAGGAATAGAAATATCGTGTCTATGGAAGGTAGATTTCTGTGTATTTTAAGTTAGGGGGAAATCCTAACTGGTTTACCAGGGATGGGAATTTTATTTTTTACTCTACTGTACAACATTTATGTAACTGGAGTCTGACTGTATGGACACATTCAAATCATGTTGATGAAAACATAATTATCTCAAGAGTTGGGATATATCAGAAATCATATGGGGTTGTTCTTTTGGATAATAAATGAAGTACTGAAATAAATGTGTTAGGTTAGGCATTACATAAAGTTGTGTTTAGGCTGAAAGCTTGCAAGGTGGATGTGCTAATGGGTTTATCAGACGTCTCATACATTTGTGCTTTCATTAATACATGGACTATAAAAGAAAAAAATATTTGGATTAATTTATTTTTAATGAGTTAATCATGCCAGAATTTGGGGCACGGTGGCAAAACTTGAGTAGGATATGAAATATGTTTATGCAGAATTAGAAATGCTTTTGTTGGAAATTAAATATTTTTATTGTAAGCTCATTTAGTACAGTAACATGGAGGAGGCACACGGAAAGCAATTGGAATGTACATAATTTAATTTTTTTTAAATGTTTTTATTTCCAAATGACTCAACAAGATTTCAAAGATGACTTTCATTAATTTGAATGCTCACTTCTCTTCCAATGTTTACAGTTCGAGCAGTGATCCTTAAATTAGGACAGCACATTTTTGGCTCTAATTGACTTAGATCAGGAAAGATAACTGAACTTTTAAAGAATTGAACTAGCTGAGATTTTATCTGAAAACAGATTATTTCCAGAATGGAAGAAGAGCTGAACTGGAGGCATTATTTGAATCCTGAGCACTATGATGTCCCGCTTCATGCTCTCCGTTACACTGTTAGCAAGCAAATGTCTCTGCATTTGGATCAAGATGCAGTAATTCACGATGGCATAATTCCAAACTTTGGAGGTCTAGCAGAACTCATTGGATTTAGTGGCCTTGAAATTTCAGTAAGCTGAAAACCTTAATTTTTTTTTTACATCCTTTTATACATGAAACTTTAGTATTTTTTATGTTAATTTCATTTAATTTAAAGAAAAGATTTCATATTTTAAAAAATTATCAAATAATTCTGTTGAAAATATATTAAAATAGATTTCGACGATTTGTATGCCTTGCTCATAATAAAATGCCATAAATCAGAGTTTTCATAACTTTACGTAAATCATTTCATTTTCTTCTACCAGCTGTCGCAGCAAAAAATTAAAAACCATGTCACTTTTAGGTTTGGTGATTCTTCTTGGTTATAATTAACCATTCATTAATCAAACCTATTCTAAAATAAATTCCAATAGGCTTTTGAAAGAGCAGAGAGTCCCACACAAAAACTTTTGTCAGAATGGAAATTTCAGCCTCACTTGAAACCTACTGTAGGAAGGTTAATTGAATTCTTGGCCAAGTTGGGCAGAGAAGATGTCCTCACAGACTGCAATAACAAAATTCGTATGTGTCTCTGTTTAAGTTTCTAAAAATTTAAGAATAAATTTGGACAATAGGTTGTACATTTGGACTATTGGTAATATAGTTTAAATACTTGCTAACATTTGAACAATAGTAAATAAGGTTAAATTGATAAAATATTAAAAGCTGAAAATGTTTGATTTTTTTAACTTTTATATCTCACCTGCTAAGGATATTTCTTAAGCAAATCAAAAGGTGGATGCAATTTCTATAAAACAAATATTTAAAAATTTAAGAAATCATTTTTTTGGCCACACACATATAACTTTTTTTTTTGTGTATGTATATTTTTAAACAAATATAAAAAATATCTAATCATACACCTATAATAATTATGAAATAATAAATTGATGGAGGGGCTAGATGTCAAGCTCACTTGAAAGAATGAATAAATTTAAGATAAACACTCCATTATATATTCTTAATTTAAATAATTTGTCATTTAATCTCATCACTTCCTCTATATTAGATAAAAAACATTAATTTTAATTTTTTTTAAAAACAGAGTCAGAAATAAGAGATTTTTTAAACAAAAAAGATTTCGATTTACAGAAAGCTCCCATCCAAGATGAAACAGGTAAATTTCCTTAATTTCCTGTTAGATCTTATAACAATTATCCTTGCCAACTGTTATGCAGCTTCGTTATTTCCATCACTTTTTCACTATTAGCTCATCCGTCGAAATAGATCATTCATTTCAGCCATTGGATTTGTGCTGATTCTGATTCTGCCTGTGGGTGCACTGATGGTTGATGAGACAGATTTTTGCAAAAAATGTTCTTGTGCAGTAGGTGCAAAGGGAGGATGGGACATCTCCATGTGCAGAGTTTACCAGGGCTTTTCTGGCTTGCCTTTTTGCTCTGTGGGCTTTTTTGCTCTGCAGCTACTGGTTCTTTTGGGTTCAAGTTGTATGGAGCCTTTGGGTAAAGAGACACAACATAATGCTTGAATCTTTGCCAAATCTTACCATGTTTTCTGGTTTATATCAAACGCTTTCATTGAAGCTTTTATATTGTCTTTAAAGCATTGACTCTGCCCATCAGCAAACTGCCTTCCATACTTGCGCTCTCCATAAATAATTATTTTGAGCTAGTGGTCATCTGAGATTCTTAAAACATGTCCTGCCCATTGAGGCTGGGACTGCATTAAAATGGTAAAGATGCTGGGGGAGACCTGCCTGTGCGACTACCAATGTGAAAGTTGCCTGAAAGGGGTTCAACTTTCCCGCATGGCCTTGGTGTACTGTACATGTTTCACAGGCATAAAGAAGCATAGGGAGCACAGCCACCCTGTAGACTTTTAGTTTAGTTTGAGTTCTGATACCTCTCCTGGTCTATATATTCCTAGGCATTTTGCCATAGGTTGCATGGCTATTGCAATAGGAATGTTAACCTTAGCATCAATAGTTGCTTTTTGGAACAGCGTGCTGCTAAGGTCGGAGAAGCTGTTCACCACTTTAAGCCTTTTCCCTTATACATTGAATGTTGGGTTCACTGTTAGGTTTTATTACTGCCATGTAGGTTTTATTACTGCCATGTTTACATCACTGTTTTATTATTAATATTTTGGGCTTATTTTCCAGTGTCACAAGGCCCTGGCTATGAAATCATTCCAGATCAAATTACTGTAGAAGATGGTAAGGAGATGATTTTTTATTTCAGTGCAGTTACGTTAAGCATATTTCCAATTTATCTGTTATTTCTGTTTCTTAAATATTAAATTTTTATTTAGTCATTAACAATTGAACTTTTTCAAAAAAATATAATATCAGAATTCTGTCATGGTTTGATTTAGTGACATCAATGGACAGGTGGGTGGATTGGTCAGCTTTGTTTTAGTTGAAAAGCTACAGGTGATTGGGAAGGAGTAACACAAAGTAAGCGAAAACTTATAACCAAAAGAAAAGACAAAACAAAATAGTTGGCCAAAAGCAATCTTCAGTTTAAAAAAAACTGTGAGGGACAAGATAGAAAAAATGACATAAAACTAACTCATTAAATAGGGTGCCGTGGCTACTCCAGTTTGTTTCTCCTTGGGCTACACAGCATCCCAACTTAGAAGGGTCAATCTCAAATTTTCATTATTTTACAGTTATGACTGGTAAACAGACCAATTATGATGCCTACATTTGCTTCAATCCTTATGGTACAAGTACCAAAGATCTTGAGTTTGTCCGTGAGCTGATTGAGCGGTTTGAGAAACCTTCTCAGTACAACAATCGCAAACCATTCAAATTATTTGTGCCGTCCCGTGACGACTTGCCAGGATTCAGTGCCCACACAATCAGTGCCAAGATTATATCTGAAAGGTAACAAGAATGTTTTAAAAAAATAAAAGTTTTCAAGTACCATTTCAATCACAAGATCTGTCATTCCTCTACACATAATCACACAATCAGTAAGTTGTGAATCCAGCAAATTTTGATAGATTGCAAGCCACCTAAAGACTAAGCTGAGTAACACTTTTTTTTAGCTCAGTTGTGTTCTGCGAGCTGAAGATTCCCATAAAAGCACTGCCCCCATAAAATTAAAATAATGTTTTTAAAAACATAAAAATAACCAGCAATAACAATGTTTTAATTAATTTTTTTAAAAATTCAGTCCATTCAGAAACAGCAATAAACAGCAATAAACAGAAATAAACAGAAATAAACAGTATGCCAGAGCGCTCCCTCAAACCCCATGGGTAGGGAACTCATTTAGTGCTACAAAAAATCTCTTTCATACATTACTTAGTATTCTACACTTTTTTTTAAAATGGTGATATGAAAAGACAATTATCAAAAATTTTCTGTTGACAGATGCAGACATATGATTGTGGTGCTAAGCTGTAACTTTCTCCAAAGTGAGGCATGTGAATTTCAGAGTGCATTTGCCCATTCATTATCCCCAGGTATATTATTTAATATATTTGATGTTTTACAATGTTAGTTTTATCTTAAAGGGAACATTTTCCAGGTCATTTTTGCAAATCCTCAAAATGTTTGATTGATTTAGACTTGAATGATTTAGACTTGAATGATTTAGACTTGAATGATTTAGACTTGAATGATTTAGACTTGAATGATTTAGACTTGAATGATTTAGACTTAGACTTGAATGATTTAGACTTGAATGATATAGACTTGAATGATTTAGACTTGAATGATTTAGACTTGAATGATTTAGACTTAGACTTGAATGATTTAGACTTGAATGATTTAGACTTGAATGATTTAGACTTAGACTTGAATGATTTAGACTTAGACTTGAATGATTTAGACTTGAATGATATAGACTTGAATGATTTAGACTTGAATGATTTAGACTTGAATGATTTAGACTTAGACTTGAATGATTTAGACTTGAATGATTTAGACTTGAATGATTTAGACTTAGACTTGAATGATTTAGACTTAGACTTGAATGATTTAGACTTGAATGATATAGACTTGAATGATTTAGACTTGAATGATTTAGACTTGAATGATTTAGACTTAGACTTGAATGATTTAGACTTGAATGATTTAGACTTGAATGATTTAGACTTAGACTTGAATGATTTAGACTTAGACTTGAATGATTTAGACTTGAATGATATAGACTTGAATGATTTAGACTTGAATGATTTAGACTTGAATGATTTAGACTTAGACTTGAATGATTTAGACTTGAATGATTTAGACTTAGACTTGAATGATTTAGACTTAGACTTGAATGATTTAGACTTGAATGATTTAGACTTGAATGATTTAGACTTAGACTTGAATGATTTAGACTTGAATGATTTAGACTTGAATGATTTAGACTTGAATGATTTAGACTTAGACTTGAATGATTTAGACTTGAATGATATAGACTTGAATGATTTAGACTTGAATGATTTAGACTTAGACTTGAATGATTTAGACTTAGACTTGAATGATTTAGACTTGAATGATTTAGACTTGATTGAAGGAGGTGCTCTTATAAAGGAAATAGCTTGTGTGTAACTTTGGCACTGTTTCAGTTACTTTAGAAACCATCAAAGGCTAACATTCTTTGCCTTTTGAATTTTAAGTCAGATGATATTATGGAGTTGATAAACAATAAAGGCTTTTCCTATTTTGAATGTCTTGGAAAAGATTAGTTCATTCCAGGAATTTAGGAGAAATATTTTTGCAATTTTTATTTTGCAGGCAAATCATGTGTATTTAATTGAATTTGTAGCATCAAGTGTGTACATTGGAATTTTGAAAGAAATGATTTTTAAAAAAAATATCTTGTTAGTCAAATTGGTCAAGATAGCCTCATAAAAAGATTGCTGTACATATTGTGGGAAAATTTTAAAAAAACATGATAAAATCCATCAGTATGGACCATGCAATGATAACTGTTAGAAAGAAAACATGTTACAACCGTACAATGCCAGACAGAATCTTTCCACCATTAGCTATGCCCTTATGAAGATCTCCCTTTGTCTAATATAGAATATTTCCACTACTAGTGAACCCTTATCGAGAGCTTCCTTTGTCTAACAAAGAATCTTTCCACCATGAGCGACACCCTTATCAAGAGAATCTCTCCACCATTTTCAATTCCCTTATCAAGAGAATCTTTCCACCACTAATGACACCCTTATCAAGTGCTCCCTTTGTCCAATACTCACTTATTCTGGCAGTATTTCAAAAGAAAAATATGCAAAATTGTTTTTTTTTAAAAAATCATTCAATTATATTCCTATTTCTGTGCAGGTGCCAGGAACAAAAGAATAGTTCCCATCAGGATTGAGGATTGTCAAGTTCCCAACATCCTGAGAATAATGGCCTGTTGTGATTTCACAAAGAAGGATTTGTGGGACTGGTCTTGGCAAAGATTGGCAAAGTCTATCACTGTGCCTCTTAATCCTGATGATTTTCAGGTAAGTGAATTAACACATTCTAGTCAACATTTGTACTGTTAACAATATTTTGATAGATGAATTAAAAAACAGTTTCTTTTATCTGGTAAAATTGCTGTACCGAAGTATTTTAAATGTTACTGAAGTCAGTCTCATTTCTGTCTTGAATTGGGACATCTCCATAGATAAATAATGTCCCATTTACTTCAGTTAATATGACAAACTACATATTCAGCATCCCAAACAAATACTGCAAAACCTAACAGTGGAGTCATTTGAAATGTTCAGAAGTATATTGTTAAAGTGCTTAAGAGCCAGAATTTGCCTTGATGCAGATGTAACGATCAAGACACGCCTGACAGCAGTGCGTGGTGTAACCATTACATTGTATTGACACAAGGACAAGTTCTGCCTGTTAACAATTTCATTTTTATATCCTTTTCAATTTCTGCAGCTCGCAGGTGAAAGTGCATGTCAGAGCTTTCAACTGACAAGATCTGGTTCTCCGAGTCCAGACTCTGGCTTCTCTAGTGTATCAGTAAGTTATCAGACTTTATCAGAGTTTTATTATGATTGATACCATGGTCGGCTTTAAAATTAAGTTCATGATGTGAAGTTTTTTTTGTCTGCCGATTTTAACCCATGGGTTTTTACTCCCAGTCCTGAAAATCCTTTATGAATTAAACAACATTGACATTATACCTTGCCCTGCTCCAAGAGCCGGAACACCCAGTATGCACATCTGAATGGTCAGTTTAGGGCATTTTTTTTTATGTGAGGTAAAAAAATATTTTTTGATATGTGTTCTGTTTAAACAAAATATAATTATGGATAAATGAACATTGATTCACAAATATTTTACAAGTCTCCCAAAAGTGATAGACCCACATGTTTTATTGTATACAATGATAAGATACAGAATTGATTAAACAGAACCGGACCCAATTGAGGATGTAGTTACACAGAATGACAAATTGGACCAAATTGAGGATGTAGTTACACAGAATGACAAATTGGACCAAATTGAGGATGTAGTTACACAGAATGACAAATTGGACCAAATTGAGGATAATTGAGGATGTAGTTACACAGAATGACAAATTGGACCAAATTGAGGATGTAGTTACACAGAATGACAAATTGGACCAAATTGAGGATGTAGTTACACAGAATGACAAATTGGACCAAATTGAGGATTTAGTTACACAGAATGACAAATTGGACCATATTGAGGATATAGTTATACAAAATAACAAACTGGACCATAATGAGGATGTAGTTACACAGAATGGCATACTAGACCATATTGATTATGTCATAATACAGAATGACAAAATGGACCATATTGAGGATGCTATAACAGTAGAATTTGCTTTAAAAAAACAAAACAAAACATTAAAAAAATGTTTTTTCATAAACCAGGTGTGTGCAAGCGTTACGTCAAGAGGACTTAAAAATTCAATATATTCAATATTAATATCCCTTGATTACTAATAAATCAATACATGAAAGACAATGTAGCTAAAGCTATTTTTAACTTTTTAAACTGATTCTTTTTTAGATCCATCTCTTGCTCTAGCTTAGCCATTTCAATTTCAAAACATCAACAATTTATCTGGTAAATGATGCTGGAATTAGATCCAACTCTATCTCTAGCTTAGACATTTCAAAACATCAACAATTTATCTGGTAACGGATGATGGAATTAGATCCAACTCTAGCTCTAGCTTAGACATTTCAAAACATCAACAATTTATCTGGTAAAGGATGGTGGAATTAGATCCATCTCTTGCTCTAGCTTAGCCATTTCAATTTCAAAACGTCAACAATTTATCTGGTAAAGGATGGTGGAATTAGATCCAACTCTAGCTCTAGCTTAGACATTTCAAAACGTCAACAATTTATCTGGTAAAGGATAGTGGAATTAGATCCAACTCTAGCTCTAGCTTAGACATTTCAAAACATCAACAATTTATCTGGTAAAGGATGGTGGAATTAGATCCAACTCTAGCTCTAGCTTAGACATTTCAAAACGTCAACAATTTATCTGGTAAAGGATGGTGGAATTAGATCCAACTCTAGCTCTAGCTTAGACATTTCAAAACGTCAACAATTTATCTGTTAAAGGATGGTGGAATTAGATCCAACTCTAGCTCTAGCTTAGACATTTCAAAACGTCAACAATTTATCTGGTAAAGGATGGTGGAATTAGATCCAACTCTAGCTCTAGTTTGGAGATTTCTAAAGAGAAAAACTGAATCACCCATGTTTTTGTTTTCCCAACGTAATTTGCAAATACTGTGCACTGTGCTGTACTTAAAATCATGTGATTGTAGATAGCAACATTTGTTAAGATCCGGTCAATGTCGATAACATAAGCAGTGCCAATGTATCTGCTTTGGCATGTAACATAAAGAGTGGTTTTGCAGCGCATAATAAGCTTTCTCACGTTCTGTTATTTACAAAACACTTGTTTGATGATGCAATTTCAGTGGTAAATTTAAAGATAATGTTTCAGAAAGAATGAATTTGGCTTGTCCAAGTGGCGCTTCAGTTAACAGGACCAAGAGGAACACTAACCCAAGTGTGGGTTCAAGAATTTCTAATCAAACAAAAGCCTCAACCCTTTCATTACCGCTGGTGTTGGGGGGTTGGGGGGGGGGGCAATCAATTTTTGATGACTCAGCAATAAAAAAGTTTTAAAAAAGAAGAAACTTTTGGTAGTTTTCATGCTCTATCCACTGTCCACTGTCCGATTGGCTTATTAACTTCTCTATAGTTTTAGGAATAAAGAAGTATCTAGCACTGAAATAAGACGTCGACGTGACGTCCTTAGTATTTCAGAAAAGTTCTTTGCCTCTTTGTTATGACGACAATGTGACGTCCTTGGTAATTGAAAGTGGGTGGTCGTTGCATCGAGTTGACGTCATCGGTAACGAAAGAGTTAATTTTTGGGTAGAAGAGGAGAATGAGTAGAGGTGTTGAATTTTTTTACAATTTTGTTTGTCCATGTAACAGTCTCTTTAACCTTTGACATCCTTAAGTCATTTACAGAGCATTGATTTGCTTTACTTCACAACTAGACCAAAGTTAATTTTTTTAACAATTTTTAAAATTACATTTGCAGCTAATGATGGATCAAAGAATAGTTAGAAACATATCAGAACCTGAATTCTGGCTCATTTCTTTTATTAAGATCATATAGCAATAAAATCCCAACATATTTTCTTATCATTCCTCTTTCCACCTACTTGCAGCGATCACGGTCAGGGAGTCAGTACAGTAACATCACATCTCATATGGCAGGTAAATAGTTAAATAATCCTTTGGTATGTTCCATATTGGACATGCTACTGGAGCAAAATTAACTACCATTTTAAAAATTATTTTTTATTCGTTTGATAAAATCCATGTGTGCAATTAATATTATGAGCTATTTAAATCTGAAAACATATAAGGTTCATCAGGGTTGGTTAATTATAAAAAAATACACCCCCCCCCCCGATAAATCTTTGATCTGACAATGGTTGGTCCTCATGTACCCCAGGTATGTATGGACAATGGTTGGTCCTCATGTACCCCAGGTATATATGGACAATTAAAAAAAAACACCCCCCCCCCCCCCGATAAATCTTTGATCTGACAATGGTTGGTCCTCATGTACCCCAGGTATGTATGGACAATGGTTGGTCCTCATGTACCCCAGGTATATATGGACAATGGTTGTCCTCATGTACCCCAGGTATATATGGACAATGGTTGTTCTCATGTACCCCAGGTATATATGGACAATGGTTGGTTCTCATGTACCCCCAGATATATATGGACAATGGTTGGTCCTCATGTACCCCAGGTATATATGAACAATGGTTGGTCCTCATGTACCCCAGGTATATATGTACAATAGTTGGTCCTCATGTACCCCAGGTATATATAAACAATGGTTGGTCCTCATGTACCCCAGGTATATATGTACAATAGTTGGTCCTCATGTACCCCCAGGTATATATGGACAATGGTTGGTCCTCATGTACCCGCAGATATATATGAACAATGGTGCCCTTTTTGAGAGTCCCTGATTTTATCAGTGTTGTCATTGTGGGATTAAAAACATGAGACCCCCAGTCATGTTTTTTGCATACAAGGTTTTACCATCCTATTCACTATTGTATGTTCTGCTAGATTAGTAAATTCTTAAAGCGTTCAGGCCAGCAAATATGACTGACATAAACATTTCAAAATGCACTTCATTCACTTCATTTTTTTCTGTACAATTAAAAGTTCAAATAATTTTTTATTATGTGAGTGTAAAAATCTCTTGTCTGTGACCAGGGTCAAGCTCGTCTTTAAACATGGAACCCGATCCACCCAAAAAGGCCCACTCCAGCCCAAATCTACTGAAAAAGGTTACAGGAAAGTTCAAGAAATCAAAGGACAAGCCAGCCACAAGTTCTTTTTAAATGAACGATTTTTGAGTGTTGACCATTGACTTAACAAATGTGGACCAAAAATTTGTTGATCTGAAAGGGGCCAGGACTGAACAGTTTGTTCTGTTAGAACCTGATGGGTAAACATTTGAAGCAATGTATGTAGTGTAGTGGTGAACAGATTCAGAATAAGGGTGATTTGTGTCAGTTGGCCTGAGCCTCAGAGTCTCTGGGTACTCTAATTTACACATGAATCTATTTTTAACTATTGAATGATCAGCCTATAACATTCTAAATTTTGCAAAAAGAGATATTCTGTCTTTGCAATAATGATTTTTTTTTTATTAAAGTGTAAATTTTAGAAATGTCAAATCTAAACATTTTTATGACTTTGTTTTGAGGGCTGAGATGCTTTTAATAATACACAAGAAAATGCCTTTTGAGAGAACTAGGTGATGGTGGTTCCCCTAGTTTACTTCCAGTCTTTATATATAAGTTATAGTTCTGTATCTACATAGCTGATATAAGGATAGATCTTTGTATATATTTTATTCAATTTGTCTTATTTTTTTATTTAAATTTATTGTGAAATAAATTTTTTAATAAAATTAAAATGAAGCGAAACTGAAAATGATTTGACCCAATTAGGCACGCAAAGGTTGTTTTCTCATTGGTTTATTTTTTAGTTTTTAAAAAAATTATTTTCCCTGCGTTCTGGTTGCTGTCTTCTTAATTGTTTGATAATTTATTGAAAGTAATGTTAGGAAGACTTTAAGGCGTACCAACAGAGATTTCATATTATCATCACTAAGAGTGAGACATGTGGACCATGGTGATGAATGACGTCCACCCAACATTGTATTTTTTATTTATAAAAGAAATGTTCTGTTCTTTAATTCTAAAAGACTTTTTTTTCTTTCAGTGAGGATCCCAGTCCCCCACCCCCGTTAAACTATTATTTAAATTCAATAAAGAAAAGTGTAAAAAAATTACTGGTTTAGCTATTATTACATTTTAACACGGCTTGCAGATATTTTTTGTTGGTTTAGAAATTAGATGTAGCAGGTTCATTTTTTTCATCAAGACTGGAACATATGTCTGTGTATATCCTGAACTTTGGAAATCTAATGTTACCAGATTTCAAGCAAATTCAGTTTAACATTATTTGGATCTGTCATCATTGTGTTATCTTCCTGTGATAATCAAGTGAGGGTTGGATAAGTTTCATCTTCCTCCATTTAATTTTTAAATTCAAAAGCTAAACAAAATTGTCACATGAAGTTTAATATCGATCAATATTTTAACCAAATTTTAATGAGCTGTTGAACTTCAAGGGTTATTTAACAATAATACAATAATATATTACCACTGGAAATTTGTTTCTGTTCCAGTTTTCTTGGACGTAGCTTTTAGGCTGCAGCCTTCAATATAAATAATAATGATGATTATGCAATGCCCAACTGTCATGTTTTGTTTCCATGTGGGTTTCCCTAAACAAACTTTGTTGAGATCTTAAAATCTAGGTCATATTGGTTAGAAGGCTACCAGGAAGTCTATTATATAGGCCTGTGGGTTATATTTAGTGTTCACCTTAGCTGTTCATGAGGCACATCAAATGGCTGGGGTCGTAAATATAATCTGATATATTATCTTAAGGATTGGTCTTGGATCACTTCCAGGATATATTGATAAGGACATGGATACAAAGGGTCAACACACATCCTGGTATGATAATTTTTGTATGCATGACAAAGGATTCAGTCTCTGCATCAAAGAGTGTGCAAACCGTTTTTAATTATTTTTTTATTGATGCAGCCCACTGATGAATAATCTAATTGTAGATAAATCACAGGTTGTCTCAGCCTCTGGTCATGACCCCCCAGGTTGGTGCACCACTGCTCTAAAATGCATGTGTTCCACCTGCTGTTTTGAGTATACACAATGATCATACCTAGGATCTCATTCAGCCAATTGTCATACATCTTTCATGGGAAAAACTATTCAAGCATGATTATTTTATTATAGGAAACCTCTGTACATAAAAGTTTGACCTAAGTATATAAAAAATGGTGCACATTCTAGTTGTAATTTTATTAGTTACAAGAAAGTGAAATTATCTTAAAACTTTGATAATTTTTTTCTACTGAAATGGTTTATTAAAAAAGTATTTTTTTAACTTGGGAAGAATAAAAAGAACAAAATAATTTGTTAAAATATTATTGTTATGAAAAGCTATGTTGACATTTTGTTGCTTTGCTACTGCTAAATGAAATGAATTTTTTTTTCTTGACAAAAAAAAAAAAAGCACTTGATATCCCTATCAAAATAGTGCTTAGCCATGCCAGAAGTGTTAAAATTACTCAAGGATAGCAACACTTGACAATCATTCCTGGATGTTTTTGTTATTTTTCCTTTGATGGCAGGACATAGTGAGTGAGGTTTAATTAGTGCTTTCTTATAATATGTATGAGTCATTCCTGGACACCATTGAGTACATTGTTGTCCAACAGCCATGTTTTATTCTATGAATGTGGCAGTAGGACCGCGCCAATGGAGATGAATGTACAACAAAATTTGTTTGAGTTTTTTGTGTTGAGCTTTACTTAAATGTGATACCCTTGTTGTCATGAAAAAGATTGTTTCCTCATACTAAGGCCTAAGGCAAACATTTCACTATAAGCCCTGTGTTATATGTTGCCTTACTGCTTAAAATATATCATTATTTTTAAGAGCATTATATTAAATGCTGTATGATACTGCTGTGAAGAAATAAATTTTTTTTAGGCCATCTTGTATTTATTGTTTAATTGTTAAATTTCATCTGAAATTTCTGTAAGTGTTTAAAAGTAATATTAAGAGCTGACTTAGATACTCAGGTACCAGTATTCAAACATGAGGGGGAATTTTTTGTCTTTAGTTGTTCTTTTGAAATTATACATAAATCAAATGAATTATATTTTTTCAGGTTTTATAGATTGTAAGTAAAGTAAGTAAAAATTTAATTTATTTATCAAAATTTGCAAATAAATGGCAAAAATATGCACTTTACTGGGAGTAAAAGAATAAATTAAACAATTTAACATGAGTGCTTTATACAGATTTAAATATGTGCAAATTATTTTAAACAGCTTGTTACAAAAGGAAGCAATTACTAAATTACTTATGTCTCATGATACTAGTAAAAAAGAAACCTTATAAAAAAGGTTTCAACAAGGTTTCCTAACCTGGGATCGTCTGGCATTTCTGGGGGTGGGAGGAAAAGTGATCATGAAAAGGGAGAATCCGTTTACTTTAATCCAACGATATAAATGTTTAAATATTTTCTAATTTCTTTACAATCACAGATTTCTTTTCTAAGTTCTGAAGGTCTCTTAGTTATTCAATAATTAAAAAAAAGAAAAGAAAAAGAATTCCATTTTTTTCCAATTGTAAACAGCATTGTTGTAAGAGGGTGCAAACTTAGTCCATCAATTTGTAGTTGGTGCAGAATATTTAAAAGGTTGGGAAACCCTGGTCTTAGAATGTCAGGCTTGCATTTTTATTTTTTTCTCTAAATAAATTTGAAACTTTAAGATTCATCCGACACAGACGTAACTTAAGATTCATCTGACACAGACATAACTTAAGATTCATCTGACACAGACTTAACTTAAGATTCATCTGACACAGACTTAAGATTAATCTGACACAGACTTAACTTAAGATTAATCTGACACCAACTTAACTTAAGATTCATCTGACACAGACTTAACTTAAGATTCATCTGACACAGACTTAAGATTCATCTGACACAGACTTAACTTAAGATTCATCTGACAAAGATTTAACTAAAGATTCATCTGACATAAATTTAAATTAAGATTCATCTGACATAGATTTAACTTAAGATTCATCCGACACTGAAATAGATTTAACTTTTCGACATTTTGAGTTTATGGCACATTTATGAACATGAAAAATAAACATTACATAGTACATCAACAAAATCCACATTTGAGAACCACTACTCCAATCTATGGTAATGTATTTATCAATAAAATATGCATTTACATGACTATAAATTAAAAGTATATAAAAAAAAATACCTAATAACAGTTTTCAATGTTTTGTTCAATAGAGCTAGAAATGTTTGCTGTTACACAACATATATCAAAGTCAAACAGGTAAACACACATTTTAAAGGTGCTACATAAGTTAACCGTGACAGTGGAACAATGCTTCTACTCTTGTGGGAATGTTAATTTTCCATTTAGGAAAATAAAACCAACCACAGCTAATATGAAACAAATAGCATAACGTGATATGTGAGAGCTTGAAAGGAAAAAAACAAAAACCCAGGACAAATGAGATTAAAATTTTGGCAAGAAGCCTTTATCAGTAGACATAAAAACAAGAAACAACAGGGGATGAGAAAATTTGAATTCAGCTTGTGAGTAGCTGTCACTTATCTTGTTCTATTTCCTTCAAGGGCTTGAAGGCAGTCCCTTAAAAATTATCCTTTATAATATGAAACGGCAGGTTTGGTATATTTTAGCTTGAACAATATTAGGCATGAAAGGCAACAAATATTTACAAAGACAATCAATCATTTGTGGTGGCAGATGTGGCGGGAACTTATGAAACCATCAACATTAAACAAAAATTTTAACCACCCTCATTTATTTATAATTTTTTCAACCACTCTACCCAACAGATCTACATGCAAATAGGTGCAATAAACAATTTAAGGGACTAACTCCACCATCCACCAAGTGCTACCTTCCTACATTTTCATTTTTTTACCAACAATTAAAACCATTGAAAAAAAATTATTATTGAAAGATCCTTCAGACTTTGATAGTTTAATTTTCCTCTGTACTTTAAAGTGGGAGCCAGAATTTAAACCTTCTGTGTTAAAGATAGTTTGGTTAAATATAACTACAAAAGAATGGAAAAGGATGCTAAATTAAAATGAAATAACAAAGGGTAGACTATCAGTAGATCACAGCAATGGTGATAATAAACAAAACATGCAGTATAGTAATTTGAAATTATTTGAATCCCCATGAGACACCAATTATAACACAGGGTTTGATAGAATTTTATGATGAGATTTAAACTTAAACCCCCACAAATCCTCAGCATCTTATGTCCTTGACACTCATGTCAATATCATTTAGGCCACCTGGACTAGAAAAATAACACAAAAATTGTAGAAAAAAAGCTTTAATAATTATTTAAATAATTTATTACGCGGAAATGTAACAAATAAAGCAGGAACTAGGGCAGCAATAATAAATACAACAATGAAATGCTTGGCGAAGCCCAGAAAATAAAATAAAAATATATCGTCGGGGCTGGCTTTAAGCTTGTCTGTTGTCATGGTGATGAATAATGCTAGGGCTATCTGACAAATCTTTTTCACAGGACCATCAATGGATTTTTCATTTGTTGTAAAAAGTGTCCCAGCCACACCTAGACCTTAAAACAAACAACGTAATGTGGAGTTAGTTAAATGTATCCCACAATGCAGATGTAGGAGCTTCATCAATTTAACCTTTTAGTTTTTAGATACAAAAAAAAGTTGGTTGTGTTTTGGGTGCTGTGATTATTCGTACTTAGAAATAAAGTCTCAGGCACCAATTTAGTTTTACTTAATCTTTTTTTATACATTTAAAAACAACTAACAACTCCACAAAGCAAGATAAATAACTCCTATATTCCTCAAATGTACAGAAATTACTATAAGGTCAAATGAATTACACACACACATTGTTCAACAGCACAACTCTGTTCATGACTCTTTTTAAACAATTAACTTTTTTAATATAATCTCCTTCTCATGTTTATTAAATTACCTACATGTTAGGAAGTCCTTTTTAAAAAAAAAAAAATTTAAGTTAAAGTTAGATACATTGGTTGCCCCAGATACAAAATTAATGTATAATATTATCAATTATAAACAGAGCACCTTCAAGGGGCCTAAAGGATAGCAAAAACAGGAATGTGTTTTGAAGTTTGTTGCTGCTCCCCCATAGTATTTAATTTAATACCTGGCTATGCAATTGTATAACTGAATTAATATTATATTTAGCACAAGAAGTTTAAACAAGTGATCTATTCAGCATGCATGATTCTTTTACTTCTTGTGTTTCTAATGACACTGTCAAAAGTTTTGTCCTGCCAGTTTGGATTCTCACCCAGTAAACTTGAAATGTCTCGCACGATGGAGTAAAACAACGTGGTGTCCATGTGGACCCATTCTCTGAACGCACACCACTTTGTGGCCACCACAACAGACCAGAGCGGATCATAGCCAAGGACACCAACAAGCATGTAGATGGAAGCAGCAATAATTGATAGCAGAGCAGAGGTGACAACGTAGTGGTAAAATGTTAAAGTGGTGGTTGATAGAGAATTCAATATTTTACCCAGTAGCATTCCTGTAATGAAGAAGGATAAATCATTTAAAACTGGTCCTTTACTTAATTACCTCAAATTAACAATTATGCTTAATAACTTTTTTTAATATGAAACTTTTATTGTTATATTGACACAAATTGTTCGTGTCTAATTAATCAATTAATATGAAAGGCCCAAATTGGCACAGAACTTCATAAAAAAAAATTCACATCGCAGGTTTGTTGCCACAATTGAATTATAATGATGCTACGACCATCCCCTACCCAAACAAAACATATTGTGCATTCTTGATTAAAGTATGAGTATGTGTGGGCTATTTCTTAAAGATCCAAAACAGTATCATTTGAGTGCTTAAGTAATCACGTAATGGATCAAACCTACTGGCCATGGCCACAGATCTTATTATTAGTGAAAGACATAATGATTCAAAACATAAACACAAACAATAAATCTCTAGGTTTTTATGTGTGGCTGTAACGCTGCGTTCAATAGGTACACTTCATAAAATTCCCAGAAGTTAGCACTAACTGGGATTCTTATAAAGGGGGTTACTTAAAGGCATGCTTTGTTAAGTAACTTTGGTAGAAGGGAAGTTCATGCATTGTCACTGTCAGTGTTCAGCGGGTTATTTTTAGTATATCTAATAAAAATATATACTTTTGGGGATTTAAATTAAAACAAACTTTTTTGGATGAATTGTTTTAAACATCGGCGTATCAAAAAAAATTTGAATAGCCTGACAAAATGTGGAAACTTGTGTATACTGCAATGGTATTTTAAAATAATTTTCTGCCTGAAAAATACTTGAGTATAATAAGAATACTCTTACCTGAAAAAATACCAGCAATAACCTGGTGTGGAAAATGAGTTGCAATGAAAAGACGGGAAACACACACTGCAAACATAACCAAAAGGTAGCAAGCCCAACATGCTAGGTGTGTTAGTACACTGTGGATGTTTGGTATAAAAATCAACAACATTATTTTAAGAACAAAATATTGGCAAATAAAGGATGGGTTTAATTAATGCAGTAAAAATGTTAAAATTGTGAAAATATTGTGTTACAATATAGTGCGTTTTAAAGAAATTTGACGAAAATATGATGAAAATTTGACAGTGTGAGCTGAGCATTAGACATGCAAAGTAAGTAAGACGATATCTATTTGCTGATTCAAATGGTGATATCTGTTGACTCCTGTAATTTTTTATCTAGATAGAAAATGGATTTTTAAATTTACTTTAGAAACAAAACTGCATATTTCTTATATATTTTTTGCTTCTGGTGTTCCCTGCTTCCTTTTCGAAACCACCCTCCCTCAACACCACATGTTTTATATTAATAGTACTGAGGGAAAAATAAGGCTCTCATGGTGGCGTGTGAACTCGGGTAGGGGGAAGTGACTATTATATTCATCAATAAGAGCCATGGGTATGGTGTAGTACATTTATATTTATGTTATGAAACTGTCAGAATTGAGTCCCATATAATATAGTCACTTTGTTACATGGGAAGTTACATGTCATTGCTTTACAAAATTATAAATGTTTTGAATCAATCAAACTCTATTTTTTTAATAAAGTTTTTGGATTATTTAATTCTTTTGATCTTAAAACATTTTTATAAAAAACACAAAAATAATGTATAAATGCTGCTACTTAGCATGGAGAAAATGATTCTCCATTTGAAGATGGTTACCTTTGAGCCTGTTTGTAATATAGTAAATCTGAGACAAGGATGTACCACACTGCAGAGGTTATCATAGCATGGCCTGACGGACTACCTGAGAAAAAAAAATTGTTAATTCATTTAATTACTTTTGATTTGAATATAGAAAATAAAAGGATGACAAGGATGTAAATATCAATAGTTACCATTAGAGAAAGTTCTGAAAGCTTCATAAAGGAGAGAATTAAGGAGAACATTTTGTTTCACTGAATTATACCAAATTATAATAAAGCGTTGCCCCAGCATGTATCTTTATTTTTTAGCCATTGAGATATGTTTATTTAATAGTTAATTAGATTGATCAGTCTTGTTATTTGCTGCACCGAAGGCTTACTAAACTAAGGCTTGATAAAACTAACTGAAAAACTTATTTCATCTCTAATATTAATAAACAAAGGAAGCGGTAACTTAGCAATGTAAAAAAAACAAAAAACTAGACATTAATTATATTTTACATTTTACTAACTAAAAACAAAAAAAAAATGCTAAAACATGTCTTGCATTATGGAATATTATATGTAAAATATTAAGACATGTTTCCCAAAAGCATGTGTCCCTTTAACTCTGAGCCAACTTATTATTTCAGGGTGTTACATTAAAATACAACAGCTGGAAAGCATTGTAATGAGGTACTCCAATACCACTGACCAGGGCCTGTTTCACAGGTGATATTGAACTGTTGGAGATGAGGGATTTGATCCTTTTTATATAAACCTGATTCATGAACCCACCAATACGGCCTTTCTCCATGCAGCAGCCTGAAATCAAGCATGACCAACAAGTATAAATTTATCCGCTTATAGAAGAATTTACATGTCTAGGACAGAAACATGGAAAAAGAAAAAAATTAAACTACAGACTCTATGGTTTCATCTACAAAAGTTTGTGCAGAATCTTAAATTTAAAATGGTTTTATCATATTTTGAATGATACAATTTTGCTATAATTTATGGTCAGAGTGCAGTGATTGAAACTAATGTCACTCCAGTGTGAATCTTTTTTCAAAACAAGCTCTGCCACTTAATGAACTATTATCTTAAAAAATATCATAGGACTTATAAAAAAAGGTTACCATTTTGCCACAGCATTGAGCCATTCTGAAATGACAGCAACCCATAGCACACGTTTTCCGACTGAACGATGCAGAAAATAAGCAACTGGAAAATAAATACTGAATGCAAATCTAGGGTCGCCAATATGAGACAGGAAAACCAATAAACCACTGTATTCCTGGCCAGAAAAAGATTTGTTTAAAAAATCAAGCTTAGCACATTGAAAAGTATTTAAAGCTTATAATTATATTAGTATATACAGTCTATTCAGCACCAATTGTAATAACCTAAAATCAGACAAATGTAAATTAATTCACACTTAAACAATACATAAAGGCTCTCCATAATGTACAAGATAAATAATGGGCTCGTCCACTGTTCCAGTATTAAACAGAAACTCGTCTCTCTCCCCCATAGACAGCAACGAGGCAATGACAGGCAATTCCGGCTCATACCAGCAAGAAGCCAGTATAGGAACTGCTCATTCCTGCCCAAGACAATCAAGGACTGGAACAAGCTTTCAAAAGGAACAGTTGAGGCGACAACACTAGACACATTTGCGTCTATTGTCACAAGCCTTCCAACCCCCAGTGCACGATTCCCTCACAAAGTAGCACTTGCAATCAGTGAAATATCCTCATCAACACCAGGCACAGAAACATTGCAAATCCCCTCTGCATGCATAGGAGCCAAAATGATCAGTAAATCGATCGTAGGCCCTTAATATATAGAAGAAGAATATATTTTCTAAGAAAATAAAATAAAAAGCAAAATAACAGGTTATTCTGTACCTCAACATCTATGATACTATAATTAACTTTAAAAATGTTCATTACCATTAATGTAATAAACATTATTTAAAATAATCATTAATTTTTTTTTGTATTAAATTATTACTAAAAAAGTATGCATACAGATTTTCCAAAATCATACTGCAATTGTAATTTCTTTTCAGTTGTTCTGTCAAATCTGTTTCACTTTTACATGCATATGTGACATCCCATAGTGATAGTATAGGGCAGCTACATAATTAAGTCTTTATAGTAAATCTATGGCAAAGGCATAGCTTAGTTAAGAGTGTTTGGCGCCTGGTGCCCCACCAGCTCTGAAAGACATTATTTTCTTCAACAATAAAATACTATCAAAGCCCATTTGACCGCCCCCCCCCCCCCAAATAAATCTGGCGCCATGATCATCTATCCCCTGTGCCCCCCTTAGCTACACCTCTGCTATATGAGTAAAAAGACGTTGAATTTATTTTCAATGTGTTTTAATTCAACCAATCCATGCCACTTTGAGTTTCTGTGTAGGATTCTCTCTCTTTTGTCTGTTTTGGCTTGTTACTAGAGATAACTTATTTTCCTTTAAACTTTTTTTCTTTAATAGGCCGATGGAATATTTTAAATTAATATTTCATTGGGTGGTTAATTATAAGGTAAATTATAATATTTAAAACGAGGCCAGCATTTTAGAATTGGTATTGATTTTCTGACAACTTTTGGATGTTATTTTCGGTGGAAGCTGCAATTAAGTGTGTAAAAGTGTATTTGATTAAACTTTAAGTTGTGTTTTCATTATTTTAAAAAATAATTTTAATATTTTTATTTACATTTACTACTTTCTCTGTACAGTACAGTGTGTAGTAACTGTAGCATCTGAATACGTGGTTATAGCATTCACATTAGGCATTAGTGTTGTTAGGTCATAGATTTTAGGTTTGAAGATTTATGCTTACAATAGGGTGACTAAATTTTAGGGTGAATTTACGCTCAAGTTAGTGGGGACTAAATTTATGGTGGATTTTACTGTTGAGTTAAGAATACTGACTTAGCATTTAGGTTACGTAGAGGTGTAGATTTTTTCTTTTAAAAAATACATTAAATTTGCATGTTTTTTGCTAATTTTTAACTAATTTTAAGCAGATGTGTTTTTGCACTACTTTTTTTTTGTACACAGCCACCACCTTTCTTGCGTTGATACGTCTGCCGTCATGGCAACAAAAATGGTGGCAGTGGGGGAAAAAATAGTGCAAAAAGACTGTGAAATGAGTGGTTCAGATTGGGGGGCATCCATAAATGATATCATGGGGGGGGGGGGGGGCAAATTTTTGTGAGAATGTTTGATGTTTGATGAGGGGAGGGGGGTTTAAGCAGTGTGACATCAGATGTAAAGCGGAATATTATAGTTAAAAAATTCACTTCATAACACGAAATTGCTGACATTTTTAACAGAATTCTTTGATACAACAGTTATAATTATTTTATTTTTAAACTACAGTCAGTGAGGGAATCAGTGCAGGTATGCGAGGTCTGAAAAATGGCCTCTGATCACATTACAGGCCGCCATGGACAAGGAGAATTGGGGTGTAGTGACATTTATAGTTGTGAAAGTTTATGTTGAGGTGAAGAGAAGGGTGTCATAGAATTAGTAAAAAAAATGTCTATTGGGAGGTGGGTGGGGGGATTGATCTTAGAAAATGCTCTAAAGCAGGGATTCTTAGCCTTTTTACAGTGCTGCAGTCCCACTCAGTTATAAACATTTCCTGCATCCACCCACCCAACCCGTGCAAATTATATTCTATAAAATTTAAAATATGAAAATAATTTAGTTATCATAATTTTATTTCTTTAATTAAATTTCTATTAATAAAGGGAAAAACAATACAAGTAATGTGCCAAAAAAGCTCACCAGCAAAACATTTACTACTGTTAATTGAAATGATTTTTTTTTTTAAAAGGCAGCAACAGCAAGCAATGCCAGCAATAAGAATTTGTCTGGGTCCTCTACACCTCACGGGGTGCTTACACCTCTGGCTTAGAACCACTGTTCTTGGGAAATGTTTCTAATTCAGTCACAGTAATTTGATTATCCACCATGGGAGGTGAATTTTTCAAGGGTTTGTAAAGGACAGTTGTGGAAGGAGGGATTTTTATAGGGTGTGGGGGGGGGGGTGCAGTGATTTGTGATGTTATGTTTGAGGGGGGTCTAACCTTTTGTGGTGATGTGGGGGGAGGGGGGTGGGTGTAAATAAATTTTTGTGATTGGTGTGGGGGGGGGGGGTGCAGTGATTTGTGATGTTATGTTTGAGGGTGGTCTAACCTTTTGTGGTGATGTGGGGGGAGGGGGGTGGGAGTAAATAAATTTTTGTGATGTCGTTTATGGATGGCTCCTTGTTTTTTTTTTTAATGTATCAGTGTTGCTTGGTGCCTGTCACGTTGCTTCTATAAAACCTACGACTCAGTTGTTAGCAGAAATATATTAATAATTTTATAATTAAGCAATTAAAATGCGAAATACTCTTGGTATTTTGTGCTGGTTACTTAAGTTACGCACCAAATCATATTCGCAATGAAATTAATATTAAATGAAAAAGTCAAAATACTAATAGAAGAACCTCAAGGCGAGATTGAATTTCCTGGATAAGTCCAATTCCCCACAAGTGCAAAGAATCTCCCATTACACTACACTAACTCTGTTATAATTCACTAAAATAATCAGATCAATTATTTTTCTCTTTAGATTCACAGTTGACGTGGGAAGATTGGTAAATTGAGTTTAACGTAGTTGTTAGCAGTTAAAAAGGGTATTTTAAATCATTAAAAATACATTATTATTTGGATTTATTTTAAATCAAGACTACGTATTTACTGGGTGTTAAAATATTAGGTAAAAATTTCTCGATATGAAATTTTTAATAAAAAAAAAAAAGGATTACTCTAACTATAAGTCATAACATAGATACTACTACAGAAGCAGAAGAGTACAAAATAGAAAATTAATGTCGTAAAAGTCTTGTTGTCCATAGCAACGCTTACACTAAAATGGCGTCCACGGTGGAAGTAGAGCAGTTTTACATAGAAAGTATCCTTTTTTAAAAATAAATTACAGAATTTATAAAACTTGAAAAGAAATGTTTATTTTTGTAATCTATAGCACTAATTACTTGATGAATCAAAAATTTTAAAATATATTTACCATCCATACATAAATTATATGTCTCTGCATATGTCTAATTAATTTAATACTATTCTGGTAAATTAGTAAATACTAATTAACAATAATAACAATACTTAAATAAATAATAATAATTACTAGCTATTAATTAAGTTTTAGTTTAGTATTTTAGGAGGGCCTGGCCTACGCTAGAAATCAGAATTATTTTAGGAACTTATTTAAACTTATTACTATAACTATTTGCCAATACAATATTGAAAGTAAAATTAAAATTAAAGTATTTAAATGCTTAAAATCATAAAAGGATAAGTGTAAGTAAGTGATAGTATATAATGAATAATGTGTTAATAATATAGGCATGTGCACTAAGATTAAAAATTTAAAGCTAGTCAGTAAAAGGAGATATATATAGATAAATATTTTTAAATAAGGTAATTTATTATTAAATTTATTATGCTACTTTTATGACAGGCAAATTACATAGTATAGTATAGACATTATATTTTGATAAATTCAATTACAATGCAATTGCAAATCTGTTATTTCTTTAAAAATGTTTTAGAGGAGGAAGTAGCTTTTGATTCAGATGATGAGTTCAAATATGAAGAGGTTCCAGTTGATGAGGAAATTAGCACCCCTGGTAAATATAATCTTCATGACATGTCAATTTGTTAAAAATTCTTCCTTCATTTTTTTTACAATCAGTAAAAATTAGAGTTATGCTAGATTAAAGGTTATGCTTTATAAAAACCTCTCTTTATAATAAACTACGCTATTTAAAGACCAATCTGTATCAAAGCAACCATATCTTCTTAACAACTTATCATTACTTATAGGCATTAATAGTTAAAAAAATTAATTAACATTTGAATTTGGATAAAGAAAAATGGGGCTATCTATAATCTATAAGCCTAAATTTTACCACATTATTTTGTTTTTGTTTTTTTTAAATACAAAATTTAGATATTCTCATAACATATTGTCACAAATTCACCCCCCCCCCCACCCCCCATCCCCATTAACAACATAATTTGTGAATGGCCCGTTCATTGAAATTGTTTAATTTAATGTCCTAATTAAGCTTCTAGAACTCTGTAAAGTGTTGCAGTTTATAAAATAATGGATGTAGTAGAAAAGATAAATGAAATTGAAAATAACTAAGATAATGAATATTAGTTGCTTGTTAACTAAGGATATAAATAATTGCTTTCTTGTTTTTTCTCATAGAACTTGAAGAAGATTTGGATGCAGCTGTTCGCACTATTCGGGAAGCTAAGGAAGATGCCATTGCAATGGTAGTTTGAGACTTTTACCATTTCATTTGAAAACTAAGTCATATATATATTTTAAAGAAATAATCAATCAATCAATAGTCATACATGTCATCCTGTTGGGATCAAAAACTGTACAACATTTTTTTTTTAAAAAGCACTGTACAACAGCATTTTAAAAAATCATACAGAAAAAAGAATGAACATTAAAAAAAAGTTTAATTCATAACTTTTTCATCATTTATTCATCAATGTTTTTGAATGCATGCAAACTTACCTTTTTAATGGATCTACTTTTCATGAATAATCTCCCCTTCACTGTGTGCACATTTTAGCATGTTTACATAATAATATGGATGGACTGCATTTTTAAATAAAAAATAGCTTATTTTAATTCTGATTTTCATCAGTCATCAGGTATTGAGTTTTATACACTGCTCAATAGCATTTTTATAAAAAATTGAATTATATGATGAATTTGAGAGCAATAGGTTAATTATTCTCGCTGCAGACTACAGCATAGTAATATGTTTTTAAATTAATGAATGGAAATAGGATAAATTTTATGATTTTCTCTGTCTTGTCAAAGTTATTAAGTTTACTGTCAATTTATAGCCTTATTTTTCACTGCACGAGGGCATAAGTATTTTTTATTTTACCATAGAGATTATTGGGATCTAAAGTTTTAATTAGAAGTTATAATAATAATTTCACAAACTGATTTGTAACCATGGTTTACTACTCAAAGTAGTTACTACCAAACTCCTCTACAGTACAGCCATACAACTTGAACTATGTTTAAAATGTATAAAGAATGAATAGTCTATGCACTCTTGTTTTTATAACTATGTACATTAAAAATTTATCATCCTTTCCTTTTTGGCTCTAAATACAAGTTATAGAGAAAATATGAGTGTATGGAGGACACAATAATTAGAATTTGAAACAAAGATGAAAGTTTAGTTAATGCTTTTAAAGAGGAAAGAGAAAGATTTATAATAACTGAAACGCTGTGTTTAAAAAAAAAAAGAAATAATATTTTATGAGATTTACATATATCACAAACTGTTAGCCTTAAACAAAAGTAGGCAAAAATGCTGAGACAGTACAGTAAACCACAATTCTTACTTATAAGGAATGTTTTTGATACCTTTACATTTCTATAAAAAGAAATTTTGAACAAGTGCTTGAAATGTTGTCCTTAAAATTGATTCATAATTTTAAGAATGAAAAAATGATAATTTTAAAAATAATTTCATAATTTTTTTCTTTTCCATTGCATAGTGGCGGAGTTTGATAAAAACATTTTAGGATTTTAATAAATCATTTAATGTCTAACTATATACCAGGTAGTTGTTAACTGATTATTTTCCAGATTGAAAAATCCGCTGTGGCCGAATTAAATCTAGGTCACGTTTACTACAATACAAGCTTTGGCGCTACCAGCTCGTGGCCACAATGAAAAAAAAACCCCAGACGCTCCCACCGGCTCATGGTGGTTAACCAGTTAATCCAGAATTGAATTATAATTTTTATTATCTTAACAGGCACCAGGACAGTCCATCCCCAAACCAGCAGTGTTTACAAAACCTGAAGTTGTGGATGATTTTGTACGAAACTTCCTCATTCATATGGGCATGTGGCGTACACTAGACTCTTTGCAAACAGAGTGGTAAAGTTTCCTTAACTCTTTGCTTCATAGATTATAATTTATCCATCAAAATTATTTTGCATTATCAGCCTAAGTCTACATTTAATGTTATTGAAGTATTAGATGTTAAGTGCCCTTTGTTATCTTTCATAATTTTTGTGTTTGACAGGTATGAGCTACAGGAAAGAGGCATCTTAAAATACACTGATGTTGGTGATGTCCCTGATGTTTACACCAGAAACCAGCAGCTAGAAAATGATATAGAGTTTCTTCAACAAGAAGTTACCAAGTATAAAAATGCAGCACTGTAAGTTTGATTTAAACTGAGATTATTATTGTGTGATTATAAGGAAAATATATTGTGGAGCGATTGAGCCCATTCACTATTTCAAACATTGGATATATCTGTGGTACTTTATAATAATTATGGATCTGAAAAGTATGGGTTAGAGATAACAAATAAAGCTAAGTTTTATTATTAATGATAATTGGTTTGCTATTCAGAGATAACATGCTAAATTAACTCTCTATCCAAGTATAATAATTTTGTCCAAAAATAATAGGCCTTTTTGAATGTCAGCATAACAATTGATTATGGTTTAAAATACTTCTCATCACCAGAAAGGCAAAAGATTTGTATGTAAAACTGAGGAAAGAGAGAGACTTTCATAGAATGCACCATAAACGTATTGTTCAGGAAAAGAACAAGCTGATTGATGACATCAAAAGGTTTGAGTCTAGGGCTATATTATCATAATCTTACACGACCATACCATAATAAATAAATGAGTGTATCATAACCATTTATAACAAGACCATAAGTTTGTAATGATCTATGCTAAAAATAAAAGAATAAATTATTTTTGATCATTGGTCAGGACCATAATTTCATGTTAGTAAATTGTTAAAAAATTTTATTCTAAAATTGAAATTGTAAATATATGTTGAACATCATTGATTTTTTTAAAAGTTTATTTTGCTAAATAAATTAAATTAATATCATAAGATTATAAGCTAGTTTCTTATAGCTCCATTGATATTTTTTTTTACCATGATCTTTTGCAAAGATTGAAACGTCACTATACACAGTATCCGCAGCAATTGGATGCTCTAAAAGTTCGTTATGAGGCTGCCATGAAAGAGAAAATGTTAGCCAACCTGGAAAGGGATCGTGCTCATGGTCAGCTCATCGGCCTTCAGTGCACACTCAAGGGGATTGAGAATTTCCAGGGTACATATACCCCCTCCCCATGTAAAGTAGAGAGGACCTAATAGTATTTTGATATAAATTTAATTATTTAACGAATGAAAAATCTCATGAACAGTACTGAACGCATCAACAGAAATCACTCATTAAGTTAATTGTAAAATTCTCAGAATTGTAAAATTCTAGGATAATAAAGAATCTAGGGATTCTTGAAATACCCTACTATTTTTAACAATTAAAAAAACAAACTTTTTAATTCAGGATCCTAAGAAGGAAGATTCTTGGAGAATAATTTTTTTTTATTAAAGCTATTTAATGGTAAACTTATTTGCCTTAGAAATAAAAATTAATTAAAAATCTGTGTCCATTTTTCACAGGCATTACCGACAAAAAGCCAGAGGAAAAGAAAGCCAGTAAAGGACCAACACATAAACAATTGCTACTTGAGAGACAGAAGCGAGCATTAGGAGCTGAAGGAGATATTGCGAACCAAGCCCCAGGGTTCAAGAGATTTGTCAATGTAGGTTTAGCACAATGTTGGGGTTGTCCCGATTTGTTGCAAAGTGGTTAGCTAATTATTGAAGAATATGAGCATAGATGCAAATTTATAATTTTAATGCAGTTTGATCATTAAATCTGTAGCTCACATCCTTGAATGAAGTGATTCAGTTGATTAAAGCAGCCCAAAAAATGTCAACTAAAAGGGAAACAGGATCTTACAAAAAATATTTCACCATAAGTCAGCTCTTTATAACATTGAAAATTGATTTACAAAATTCAGTGCCTGATTAATTTTTAAAAAAACTTTATTTCCTTGAAAAACAAATGATTAAGGTTCTAAAATTCTCCCTCTTTTGCCTAATTGAAACCACCACAATTTGTTTTCAGGACTCTGAATTTCCAGTAGACAATGGAGTTAACCCTCAAATTAACCTGGCAAGGGGTGCTCTTGGTCCTATTGCTAAAGCTGGTGGATTCAGATTGTCTGGCTCATTCAATGCACACACCCATGCTGTCAGTGGGTTAGTCAAAATCATTTTCCAAATGTTCTTTTTCCCACAAGAAAGTATCAAAATATATTTAGTTTGTTGCAGGAAAAGAAAAGCAAACTGGGACAAATCTTAATAATTCATTTCTTTGACTTTGAACATGCACTTGCATTTTTCACATCAAAACAAAAGCAAGCTACAAAGAAGTAAAATATGAAATGTTTTTATTAATGAAAGACATATAGTTTTTAGTATCCTATCTCTCTCAAACATCTTCTTATTCAGGAAAAATAAATGTTAGAAGAAATTTTCCGGTAAGCAATAATGAAGGAAGATGTACATTATTTTAAAAAAAAATATTTATGAGGTTATTGAAGTGTCAGTCCAAAAAAAAAAAAAAAACCCATCTATTTAAAAAATAAAAATAAATGTTAGAAAAAATTTTCCGGTAAGCAATAATGAAGGAAAATGTACATTATTTTAAAAAAAAATATTTATGAGGTTATTGAAGTGTCAGTCCAAAAAAAAAAAAAAAACCCATCTCTTTAGACAACTAAAATAACTAAAATATTCCTATAAAAGAAAACTGACAAGTTTTTTCAATTTCCCCAAAATTAAAATGAATCTTGACAGCAGAAACATATATTTGTGTGATTTACATTTTCTTAGCGGGACTCTGACTCTGAGTTTCCAAAGTCATGCCAAATTTCCTGCCCATGAGTTGGGAATATCTGGGTGTGTAGTAGTTGGTTTAATAATCTGCTAATTAAATTTGTTCAAAATTTTTATTCTTCAAAACTTTTCTTTTGTTACAAAAGATAAAACATAGGCATGTTGCCCCTTAGGGTGTAAGCAAAACGTAACTGTTTTGTTCTGAGCTCAGATTTGAGAGTTTATTAAGTAGTGTATATTTAATAATTTAAATGTGATTTAAAAATTTGAAAGCAGCAAAGAAAAATTAATTAAAAAGAAAAACTGATTATAACTCTCAGGGTTTTATTTTAAACATGCCCAAGAAACATATTATGTTCTTCCTGCTAGATAAGTTTTAACAGATAAGTGTTTTTATTTTATTTTAAATATTTGACCTTTCCTGGTGTGTAATTGTGGACTTAAAACAATTAGAAAATGTTGATTTTAAATTGTTTACTCTAAATTAAAACTTTTGTAAGGTAGAGCTGAGTAGATACAACACTTGTAGATAATTAGAAGCTTATTAAAATAAGAATCAACATTTTATCAGTGTATGGTGAGATATGACCTATTAATATTAGTGCGTTTAAAAAAAAAAATTAAACAGTGAAAGTAAGTCATATTTCTTTATCAGTGTGTTATTGCTTTGCTTATAGGGTTACATGGGTTTAGATGTTCAAAATTAAAAAAACAATCATTTTATCAATGTCCTGAGATTTTTATTTTTAGAACAAGTAAAAACTGTGTGTATGTCGAAATTTAAAAAAAAACGACAACAAAGAAACATAACTTTTGATTATTAGCCTGTTAAATGATTATTTCATCAACACTTAGCAAGGAATGGCCAGCAACACATGCTGAATGATAATATGATGATAATTATTTACTTAATAAAAAGAAGACTGAACATTTTTTTTTTTTTTTGGTTCTGGTATGTATCAACCAGTCTTCCAAAATGTTTTCTCAAAAAACAAAGATTTCATAAATCACCCATTTGGCCCTATCATTTTTCGGTCTTCTTTTTCAAATCTTTCAGCATAATTATTTAAATTTTTATTTAAACTGTATAACTTTTTGCAATACATAACATTTTAATGAATATAAAATAAATACATTTTATTTATAGAGTATTATATGTAATTATACTGTACATAGTATTATTTTTAAATTAAACATTTTAGTTTTATAAATACAGTAGAACCCGGTTATGTCGACGGCCTCGAGTTTGCCAAAAAGTGTCAAGACAACCGATGATCGAGATAAACAAAAACCAATTTGGCGGCAATATATTAACATGTGCTTGAAATTTCTTTATGTACATGATGTGCGTTTATAAATGAGATGTACATGCACGTGTTTTTGGATTTTTTTTTTTTTACACAACAGCATTTCCGCAGTTTGTTTGATATAGCCATCAGCATGCTATAAAAATGTATATACATGTTTTCTAACAACACAAGGCATACGTGGGGTGCCACTTTTTTAGATTATCCTGGAATTCCGGATTCGTGAGGCAAAATATTTTTCAGCTCCAGAATTGCAAGTTTTTATTTTCTCTTATTCTGGATTCGCCAGTTCAGTTTATTCAAATATGGATTCTGGGCTAAAAAAACAATCAACCTGTAAGAACGCGTGAAAGCCTATATTTAACGCAAGCGGGTTTGCTATAAATAGGACAGATACTGCGACCTCTCTCTTTTGCTTGCAAGCCTCTCGCTCCTCATTTCTTGCTGTGTGAAGTTAATTGCTGTGTGAAGTTAATTACTACAGTTTGAAGTAGGCACATTTCTGTTGTATATAATTTTCAAAAGCCGGTGATTTGTCATGGGGATCGAGATTATCGAAGTTAAGTGGCAAATTTGGCCACTTTTTGTGCTCGAGATATCAGGGTTCGGTGACATAAAAGAATCGACTTAACCGAGGAGACAATGCTAAGACAAGAAGAGAATTTGGCAATTCCACTTCAAAAACGTTGACATAACAGGGTTGGCGAGTTAACCGAGATGGAGATAAGCGGGTTCGACTGTATTAGAAAAATCCTCTGAAAGTGTTTTTTAAAACATTGTCAAAAAATGTTTGCAAATATTTTATATGAAAATATCAATTTGAATAAATTTCAGAAATACAGGTAATTTATTACTATTATTTTTATCTTTTCTAATCCTTCAGTAGCACTTGAGCTGAAAGCTAGCAAAAATTCAGTACCATCTGATGGTATTATATCTTAATAATAATTTGTTTAATTTTAACATTTTATCTCTTCAGATTGTCTCTTCACCCGAGAAAACAAATCCTGGCCACTGCAAGTGATGACCAGACTTGGAAGATATGGGCCATACCTAGTGGGGAAATAATTATGACAGGAGAGGGTCACACTGATTGGGTGTCTGACTGTGACTTCCATCCAATGTAGGCTTAATTTTCTTAAGTCTTGTGTTTTACTCAATAACTTGATAACCATATTAAAAACAAACTTAATCTACATGCAATGTTGGCCTTGATCAATATCTAGATATTATTTCCCCCAAACTTGAGTCAAAAATTAATTGCAATAATTTCTGATGAAATTAGATTCAGTGAGTTTCTCAATCTATTTTTATCATTAAGGGGAATAAAACTGCTTTAACTGATACTAGAGTAAATTTCAATATCAAAAAATGTTATTTAAAAAAGTTTTTACTTTCTAAAGAATGCAATATCCAAAATGTTAGAGTAAGCAATGGATATTTTTCAGAAAGAAATTCAGCGCTCACTTCCTTATGCTGGGCGCTTTCAATTATTCTACTGTAAGTTATTGCCCTGAATATCTTAATGATTATTTGGCCCTCATGCGAGAACTCCTCACTTTCAAATTTTGACAGCTAGGTTCTATTTAAGGGAATGTATTATTTCTGTTTCAAATAATTATTATTTAAATCCAGTGGATCCAGTCTTGCAACAACAAGTGGAGACACCACTGTGAAAATCTGGGACTTTTCAAAGGCTGCCTGTGTGCACACCTTCACTGATCATTCTGCAGCTGGTAAAACCTATTTCCCGTCGTCACCACACACATTATTTAGTTACATAGTATTTCAATTTTATAGTATTTTATTTGAAGTAATCTTGTTGAAGTTAACAATATCCAGTAAAAAATATTACATCTATTTTCTAAATTAGACGAGCTACAGCTGTGTGAATGTTTAAAATTGAAAATGAATCAAACACTGAATATGATTTGACTTTGTTGAGAATATCTGTTTGATTTATTAACATTACTGTAAATTTAAAAAAAATTTTTGCACTATCAGTAAGCAGATTTTTTTTTTCTTAAAGACATCACTTTATATGACATCAAAATTATTTTCACAGTGTGGAGCTGTTCATGGCATAATTGTGGGGATTTCCTGGCCACCAGCTCAATGGACAACAGTGCAAAAGTTTTTGATCTTAACAGGTGCCAACAACATTTCTAGACATTAAAGGGGATTAAATGATTGTAGTCTTTGCTCAGATTAACTATGTCTTTATTGCCTTAGCCCAACAGGCTGTTTCAGGAAACATATGACTTATGTGGTATTTGTATTCATTTACTTGCTTCCCATCAAACAAAAATAAGGGTTTGAGAGTTTATTTTTTCAGGATCAGGCATGTGTATCACATTAAACCAGTTGAATGAGTTTTCTTAAAAGAGAAAAATAAAAAGCTTTAACTTAAACCAATTTAAAAAATGCAACACATATATCTGAAATAAAAAAAACAATAACACAACCTTAAGCTAACCTCTGTCTACATTTATCATTTTTGTATAAGTTCATATAAAATGCCAAGTCTCAGTGCATTAACATTTTTTATAGAACATACTGTGTAATAAACAATTAAATTAATTAATTCATGAAAGCACACAGTGTGTGAGATACCCTGGCCCTATTCATGTGGGCTCAGTAAATAAAAAAAAATTTGTTTACTTGTACTTTTTCAGTCTTCGATGCCGTCACACTTTGAGGGGTCATACAGACTCTGTAAACACCGTCCAGTTCTTTCCTTACAGCAACACCCTACTGACCAGCTCAGCAGATAAAACTGTTTCACTTTGGGATGGTAGGACTGTAAGTTGGCAATTTTAAATCTGGTTACAAAAAATGTATCCTTTTGCTGTCATTTGCTAATATGTTTGCTAGATTGGTTAATTTCCAGTATTATAGTATTTATAGTTCAATGTAAGATTTGAGTCAAACAGTTATTTTGTTAGACAGAAGCTGTCGGTTGTTTAAATGTGCACATATTCAATTCTACTTCTTTTTTAAAATAAAGTTTTCATCTAATAAACTACTGTGCCACAAAACAAAATATTTGAATAATTGTTTTTTGGTTGTTAAATACCATGATTTTTTTGTTCACTTTTTAGAACTTTTAAGAATTGTAATGAATTCACTAATTCGGTGTCAAAATTTGAAAGAACAATTTTCATTTTAGTCAGCGTAATCCCTTTTATGAGGTGAAAGAAAAATATTTTGCCCTCAAGTATACCAAAAAGAAATGAGTTATCCTTTGTTTTCCTTGCAGGGATTGTGTGCCCAAACATTTTACGGTCATATGCATTCAGTCAACCATGCCACCTTCAATCTACGTGTAAGTTTATATATTATTAGTGTCTCATTTATATCCGTACTGCTCAATGAGAACTGGAACAACACCAAGTAGGTCATCCTCTGCACAACAGTTATCCTCGGCCTTAAAAAAGTTATTGAAAATATTAATTGAGAAAAAAGATAATTTTATATTTATCCAAGAATCCAATATTTCATTTTTTCAAACTTTATGCTTTTTTCTTTAAGATAAGATAAGATAAGATTCTTTTATTGATCCAAACAAATGGAAATACTTTTTTGATTGCATTGTACATTTTCAGCACATAAATAAAACAATTTAAACACGAGACATCCACGTTAAATTATTTCACTAGTGAAAAAATAACAGCAATTCAGTGAATTCTCTAAGCCATATCAGGGACTTATTAGTTCTCAATAAGATTTCTGACTTCAGGGTGCTGAATTTTAAGTTATTTATTCCCCAAATTAAAAAGCTAATTAAAACATGCAGCTATTCTATTTTTACTTTAAGCCTAAAATTAAGCACTTTCATTTTTTGCAATTTGCTTTACTTCATAGATTAAACTTTATTACATAGAGTTTGGCCATAGACTTGTATATGGCGGCCATGAATTACATGGGACTTGCATGTTTTATTAATTAATGTGATTTGTTTCATGAAAAATTGTATCATACACCAGGGTTCCACCATTGCTTCCTGTGACGCTTATGGTGTGGTGAAATTATGGGATGTTCGCAGTGTAGCTCCAATAGCCAGTTTTGATGTTGGCCCTCAAGCTGCAAACAAACTGGCCTTTGACCCATCCAACACAGTAATTGCTGTGGCTAGTAGTGACAGCACTATCAAGATATACGAGCTTGCCACTGGGCTGGTAAGTGGAGGTTTTATGAACTTATCATGTTGTTGATCGAAATGGTAAATGTTGATAAGCTAAGTCAAATAAGTTTACATTTTTAATTTTTAAATTGTAGCTACAGTCTTTTGCTGAAATCTATTAAGATGGTGATAAATAGAGCTGGTTCATAAATAACAATTATAATTCATTGCAAAGGAATATTTTGAAAGTACTTTTATTTGACTCAAGCTATTAATTAAATAGCTATAATTCTGTCTTCCTCATGTGGTTTGTTTTTTTTATCCTTCAACAGATCACAGCTGTGGCCGGCCATGAAGATGCTGTCCAATGTATATACTTTGATCCTTCAGGAGAATTCATGGTATCAGGGGGCAGTGACAACTTTGTTCGCATTTGGTCTTAGACATCTCAATAGTATTTTAAAACATCACTTTGAGATTTAAAAAAAAAAAAGAACCAGTAAAAGATGATGAAACCAAAAGTATTATAATAAATTATATTATATTACTTTAAAATGCTATTTTTAAATCAGACTTGTTGGCAAAAAATGTACATTTTTAACCATACTACCATTTGAGAAATTGGCTTACAATGTGACTATAAAACTCGGCTAATCTGACCTAATTTGGTCTTGTTCTCACAACTTATTGAACATTTTTGCTAGTTCTATAATGCCAAGACATACCTTCATTTTAAAATGATTGGTTTCTCCAAATTTGTTTGTGAAATGTATGTAAATATAATTATATACATAGCGCACTTAAGAATGTTTTTTACTCTACATGTTCTTTTTGTTTTTTCAATTTTATTTAAAAAATTATAAATATTTGATATACCAGTATACAATAAGCTGGGGTAAATAGATGATTTTTAATTTTAACAATATGAAATATGCTTTTTTTTCATGACTGGAGGTAATTCTTTTCTTGACTACGATTCGGTTTGAACGAAAATGATAAAATATGTTAAGTTTATTAAGAGCTCTGAAAATATTTAAATTTTGTTGAAATAAAAGCTTCTAGTACAACATCTTGTGTATTAATTAAACAAAAATAACTTTACCTTGATACAAGGTTCCGATCCCTCAATTTATTGTTTGCATGTGCCTGATTGATATCTGAATTTTAGTTTGCACATGACTTGAGTAAGGTCTTAATCCATGTGCCGAAAGGTCTACATGACTCTATACGTTACTGAGTTAGGATCCGATCTATTACTTAATTTGTGAATTACATGTAAAATGAGTTAGACACTTGATTTTAAAATTACACATTTTAATTTTTTCTGCAGACATATCTCTTATATATATATTAAGCTTCTGGTGTGACTGGTGGACTGCTGCTGATCAGCAAATTTTTTATCGAGAGAATACTACAAATAATTCTAAATGAGTAAAGGTTTGAAAGAGAGTATAAAGTTCAATAATGAGTTCAGTAGCTCGTAAAATATAATTCCTGATAACTATGCTAAATTAAATTATAGATTTTTTTTATATAATGCAACTTTGTTTGGTGCATAATATTTTCTTTTAGGAAAATGAAATCATGTCAATTTAAATGTGTAAAAAAATATTCTGTTTAAAAGTGGTTGGGACATCAGAATATTTAATATAGCTCATGGGCGTGAAATTAAAAGTGTGCAGTGACATATCAATGGAGGGGGGGGGGGGGTTAGTTAAAGCAAAAAGTGGGATTCTTAAATGTGTGTTACTTGAGTTAATGTTTTGTCAAGTAACTTTAGTAGATGGTAATTTAACCATTGCTTTCACCAAAGTTTGGCGGGCTACACCTGTTGGATAATATTTCATCAAAGGTTTTTGGGCGTGAAATTAAAAGTGTGCAGTGACATATCAATGGAGGGGGGGGGGGTGTTAGTTAAAGCAAAAAGTGGGATTCTTAAATGTGTGTTACTTGAGTTCATGTTTTGTCAAGTAACTTTAGTAGATGGGAACTTCACCATTGCTGTCACCAAAGTTTGGCGGGCTACACCTAGTGGATAATATTTCATCAAAGGTTTGAAGTAGGCTTACTGAATCAATGGGAAAATCAAGTGTGCTAATGTTATTTAATTTATGATCTTCAGCATTGTAAAAATTTAGGAACTGGATGACCTTTGTGGCACATGTAATAAGAATAGAAGTAAAATGAAAAGTGAAGCATTCTAGCACGTACTCGTTAAATCATAAAATGTTCAGAGGAATATAATCATTTCCTTGTTAAAACTTTTGTTAAGTGTGGCCACTGCACAGGTTCTACAAACAACACTAGTATTAAACCCTTTTTAACTCTACTCAAGTTTCTGCCATCATAAATGCTTTGGCAAATCGATCTCCAATTAAAGAATTGTTCTTTAAAAAAAACACCCAAAAACATATGGAATAATATTTTCTGTGTGTTATGTATGGATGTCTTCCACTTCATACAGATTTTCTGGTTCAGATATTGAAACAAAGGGAACTTTGGAAAAAGGTTTTCTTTATTTCTATTAGGATGTTTGTGATGAAAATTTAACAGTCAGACTTGCCAATTACCGACGAAATGCCGTTTTCTAACAAAGAATTTTATTTTATTTGACTCGAGCCTTTGTTTACAGCCAAGAAAACATGCGTACAATAATTGTTATAATAATAATAAGAATGATAAAGATAATAATAATAAGAACAAGTTTGAATAGTCATTAATGATAAAGAAAAATAATTTAATTGTTGAACATTCAGCGTTTTACAGCAGCAAGGCAAGAACTGAGGACACATATTGAGACTGTTGTTACAAGAGGCCTTACAGTAAAACTATTGGAGCTGTAAACATTGTAAAATTATGGTCAAAGTTAATTAACAAAACAACAGATAAATACAACAAAACGATGAAATCTAAGATTTTTTTTGTTTGTTTTTTTTTATAACCCTCTGCCATGTAGCTCTTCAGTAACAAAATAGAAAAGTGCCTTTAGGTTTCTACTGGAACTCTTCGTGATGAAAGAATATAATTTAAGCAAACAAATTTTTTTAAAATGAAATAAATTAATAATAAAAAATTGGATCAAGCAGGTATATCTTGAATACTTATTTATTTCACAGTGAATGATGGTTAATGGTACAGATAGAAATGATGCAAATTATGGTTAAGTAGTACGTGAAGACAATTCATCTTTGACTTTTTAAAATCTAAACAAACCAAAAAACAAATTATATGGTAATTATTTTCTGTACATGACAATGTTGATAGAAAATTTTGTTTAAACTAAAAACTATTCAGTAAAGTGTTATAACTGTTATCAGTTTTTAACAGACCCAAGGGAGCAAATCATGATATGCTTAGGTTGTCACGGTTGTCCTAACAAAAAAATAAAATAAAAATATATTCAGATCTTAAGAAAAACATGTAAACATTTCAATATGGTCATTAAGCTTATTGAAGTGGTGAGTGGGTGAAATACAAGATGTTAGAAAAAAAGCTCAATTTTTTTATACAACACTAATTAATGTTCCTTTATATTTTTTTAAAGGTAGTGGAGTGTGGGGGTGTTTGGTTATTTGCTACAAATCAATGAGCAATGTGAAGCATCACGAAGAAGACAGATTTGGAAAATTATACTCTACTTACAAGAAAGAAAAAAAAAAAGGAAATATAATTTTAAAATGAAATGCATTAAATTTTAAATTGAGCTAGAAATAGAGATAAAGCAGTAACAGCTGAGCTAGCTAATTAACTGTTTTTGAATTAAAAATATTTGAAATAGATTTTGAGGGTTAAAATTGGAAGCTATTGCATAAAATTCCATTTCTTCCATGAGCTTGCGTAATGAACATTCCGAAGACAAGTTTGTCAAACATAATCCGGGATATGAAATGGAGCAATTTGCATGATGTAATTACATACACATATAAAGCATTAATCTTTATCACAATAAAGTAATATTCCTTTTTTGAAAAAAAATCATAGGGGCTTTTCTTCAACAAAAAAAAGCAACAAAACTGAAATAATTTGTAGAACATTTTGTGTCATTATCTTCAGTGAAAAAACTATATTTTTTAATTGTGTGGCCTATAGAGAAATTGAATCATTCTAACTTACTGCAAAAAAATATTGAAAACCATTATAATATTTCTAAATATTATAAAATTGAAACGGTTGGTATGATTGAATAATAAATAATCTTTGAACTAAGTGATAGAGGGAACAATTTAGCAGCAGAATAAAATCAATTTTTTAAATGAAATTGTGACCAAAAGAAACAGACAAAATTTTTTATAAAAAAAAAAAAAAAGAACTATTTCATCTGTGCATTAATTAACACATGGAATCTTTGGGGAGTGGAAAAATTTAACAGCAAAAAAAAAACAATTTTTTAAAAGAAATTGTGAACAAAAAAAACAGACAAAATTTTTTAAAAAAAAAAAAAAAAAAGAACTATTTCATCTGTGCATTAATTAACACATGGAATCTTTGGGGAGTGGTCAAAAGTGGAAACCAAGCTCAATAGCTTAAGAAATGTTTGAAGACAAAGAGACAAAACGTTGTTTTTTTTAAAAAAAAAAAACTTAACAAAGCCAAGTTAGATGAATGAGGTTGGACACAGAATGATGGTGATGAGACTTGACATTCAAATGATGGTGATGTGAATTGACATTCAAATGACATAAAACTGGGCTTGGGTAGAATTGACAAAATGGAGCTCTTTATCCAGGTTTTCCGAGTGTCACAAGTATAGTGACCACTGTCAGTTAGTGACCACCATGAGATGGTGAAATTGCCAGACTTTACTATTCGAAAGCAGTTAATGATTGGGGAATATTGCCTGTGACAATATGGCTCATGTTCCTGTTAAAATTGCAACAGAAAGAAAAACTTGAGTCTGCCTTCTTCAATTTTCAAAAAAGTTTTTCAAAAAATCAATTTTCTAAACTAGATTTTAACCTGTCACAAGTTGATAATCATATTATTTGAATATAAGTATCAGGGAAATTAATTTTTTTGTCTTTTGTGTGTGTTATCCAAAGGGAGAAAATTAAATTTTTAGAATATCCAACAGTCTCCTGTAAAAAAAAAAAAAAAAAACAACAACCAAGGAATGAAGAAAAAATAACCTCATTCTGAAGCAGTTACAGGTGAACATGAAACAAATACATAATTATGTTACCTACAAAAACATACAACGTAAGTTTGAGAAAAGGCCCACGGAAAGCTTTGCAATATACAAGGTTAACACAATTTCAGGTCACAATGTCAAGAAATACATCATAGGCTGTAGACTATTCCAAACGCTGAGTTCGCTGAGCTGGAATTCAATTATAAGGAGCTTCATACTAGCTTTTCCTGTTTCTTAATTTACCATCTAAATTTGTTATAATTTTCCTAAATACAAATATTTTTTCTTTCCATTCTTTTACAACTTCGAAAAAAAATTTGACAATGCCTTTTGAAGTTGCAGTCCTTTGGTTTTTATGTAGTGCTTTCCAAGAAGCACTCTTGTTTCAACATTTACTCAAGTTGAACCTCGAAACGTGCAAAAATAAAGGACTGGCAATAAAAAGGTATAATTGGATATACCCAGGAATTTCAGTCAAGACTCTAAGAGATTTTTAAAAATATTTTCTCTTTGAATATCAACGGATCATGACATGGCAATTCCGTGAGCTTCCCAAATATTAAAAAAAAAATAAAGACAACAAATCAAATGAATGTTGAACAATAAATCTATGTATTACATAAAGAAAACTAGAGATGTCTTTCAATTTTCTTTTCCTTTTTAAAAAAATTACAAGATATAATTAAAAGCAATCCTATTAGATGGCAGCACCCCGATACATTGTCACATTAGAATCAAGGATGGATTTAGTCAGTAGCAATGTTAAGAGAGTTGTAATCTTTCTGCATTGGTTTGTGACTAGTGCAATGAAGGCTAGCACAGTGTCGATTGGATGGATAAATGCTTGCGTTTCATTGGTTGTGGGGTGGGCCTGTCACACAGTTGCTATGGCTACGGTCTAAACAGCTACTGCTCTAAGATTGTGTGAGTTCAGTTGTCTGATGATGCTCCATTGACGGCAGTTATCTCAGTCTGTTGGATGAAACAAAAATAAGAGACATTGTCTTAGTATTTAGTTTTAACATCTCAAGGAAGGGTGCTGACAAACAATGATATGGATTCTGTAAAAGCTTCAATGTACGTGTCCAAAACACTTGACCACTTGAAGTAAAATTAATGAGATCTCATATGGAAAGACAAAGGCTGTGTAAGGTAAGGCATTTAGTACAGACATGGACTGTGTAGGAGGAGGTCATTTGTAAAGACGTGGATTGTGTAAGATGAGGTCATTAGTAAAGACATGGACTGTGTAAGGTGAGGTCATTAGTACAGACAAGGATTGTGTAAGGTGAGGTCTTTAGTACAGACATGGAGTGTGTAAGGTGAGGTCTTTAGTACAGACATGGACTGTGTAAGAGGTTATTAGTATAAATATGGACTGTGTAACGAAGGTTTCAGGTCGACCATCAAGGAAATTATAATTAA